GGGTAGCGGGTGGGTCGCGGGGGGGTCCCAGGGTGGGTCGCGGGTGGGTCCCGGGCTGGACGACGACAACAAACAACAACAAAGAACAACAAAGAACAACAAACAAGTACCCGCACCACAGAACCTCAATTCAGCCACGCGCCCAGGGACACTGAATCCGTTCAGCCCCCTCACTCTGAAAATTCGCGCCCCCGAGACCACAATCCCTTGTACGTCACGCCAAGCTCGCGCTCCACAAGCCACAATCCCTCACCTTGAGCTCCCGAGGCCACAACCTCACGTACAACACAACACATGTCCCCAAACACGACCATCGTAAAATACGACGCGTTGGCGCTGCAAAGGTCACATTCCCTTGCAAATTGGGCCAGATTCGCGCACTCCATTGTACAGTACACCATGTTCGCGCTCCCGAAGACATACAAATACAACCAGTCCGCGCACCCGAAGCTACACGCCACTGCAAATTACAACAAATTCGCGCTCCCGAGGCCAGGAACGCGGCCCACGGAGGCTGCCCCAAAGCGCCACCACCTCTCCAGAGCAGAATACCTGTCATATTATGCCTTGGCATCTGTGTTCGGGGGCGCTTTTCGCCTCCCGTCCCCCCCCCTCTTCCACTGAGAATTCGGCTCGGGACCCGAGGCCGCGAATACCCAAAAAATAGCTAGCTACAGATGCGCTCTCCCGAAGCTGCGAACCAGTGCACATTATATTGGCAGCGCGCTCTCGAAGCCACCACCTCAAATTGAGTCACACAGGCGCGCGCAACCGGCCCAGCCTACCAGCATACAGCCCGAATCACCTGCCAGCCAACAATTTGGAGAACAAGCCGAGTAACCGAATTGCCAGCCAACCACCCGAGAAGAAAATCAACCGACCTACCAGCCAAGAGTGGCCGTGCAGGCAATTTGAGGGGGGGGGCAACAGCAGAGGGCAAAACCCTTCAGACAACCACTTGGTAGACGCTGCCGTGCAGCACACTGCCAGGGCGGCGCGCGCTGTCCGCCAAGCCACCGAATTCGACGAGAACGATGCGGGCCATGCATGCGCCAACACACTGTGCCACAAGATCGCACTCACGCGACGAAGGAACAACAAACATGCGATTCGTCCCCCTTCCGACCAAACCCGCTCGGGATACCATCCGCTCTTCACACACCTCCTGGACACCTCCTTGACGCCATCCCGACAGTGTGTTCGAACGGTGTCCAGCCTTGGCAAGAAGGAGAGCTCTCCGAGGCCAATAACGACCAAAGTATAGGCGCTCGCGCTACTGTGACGGGACTCGACTCGGGAAGCGGTGTCGGGACACCAAACATGCAAGCAAGCACAGGACCAAACACAGGGGAAGGAACGAATCTGGATTCAGCGGTAAGCTCTAACACTCTGAGCGGCATGGGTGCAAATGACTACAAGTGAGCACGTGACAGCGACGTCTGCACAGTTTCAGGAGAAGGTGTCCTTTGGAGGCACAGCGACGCACTCGTGGTGGCTTCTCGAAAAAGAGGTCACACCTCACCAAACAGCGCGCGCAAAACAGAAGGAACGGACCTGATGAAACTCATATTTACATCAACGGCTCCTGGACTGTGAGCGGTAAGGCAAGAATTTCCTCCTAGTAGCGCTTGCGGCATGAATGAGTCTGAATGGAACTGCGACCTCCGAACATATCCAAGACGGTACAATATCTGCAAGAGGCGCGAGATCGGCGGCTGCAAAGCCCGTGGCCCCCAAATCCCACCAGCCCTCTGGGCGCATGTGGTCAGACAGTGTGATCTTCCAATGCTCCTCATAATCGTTTCTTGGAGCCCGTTGGGGACGGTATGGGGGCGCTACTGGGCGCTTCTAGCTTCTGGGGCCGTTTTGGGGCCACTCGTGGGGCTTTCGGGGGATTTGGAGGCCTCAGGGGCCCATCCGAAGCGAAATGGCGAGCTGCCAAAACACAAATCAAACGGTAGGTGTGATTTGGGCCTCTCGGGGGTTTTCCAGGGACCCTCCGTGGCCACTTGGAGCCGTCTCTGTGTGGGCGTGTGGCCTCTGGGAAGTCATCTTGGGCCTTCTCGAGCAGTATTGGGAACCATCTCTGGGCTAAGCGAAGCCCTGTTGGAAACATGTTGGGCCACCTAGGACGGACACATCCACGCCTCGAGGGCCTCTCCCGTCCAGACCCAGGGGAGGGCGGAGGAGGGGGAAACCCCTGTTGGCCCCCCTTTTTGCCATGAGTGTTCTCATATAACCCCGAGCGGGATCCAGAAACTCGCGCAATTGTCCCCAAGAGGATCTCAAACGGGCTCCAAGAGGCCTCCCAAACAGTTAAATCAGAGGTGCGTGATGTAAAGTCACGCCCAAGGTGGCCGCGGGTGGGAAAGCTTGAGCCTTAGCAGCGGCGGAGGGACTGCTGCTGAAGGGGCTGCAACATCTAGAAAGGGGCTCAAGCAATGCCGTGCCACGCACGCACATGCTTAATCACTTGTTCAGTGGTGACGTATGATACCAAGATGGTCGCGACCAGGGGCTATGGGACGTGCAGCGGACAGGCCAAACCCCATATGTTTCGTAAAATCGAGAATCACAGCGAAGCGGCAGGACAATTCGCAGGCGGAGAAGGCGTCGACCCTCGAAATCACCAAGTGTGCACCCGTTCTGCTCAGGACAGGTTCAGCAGAGTTTTACACAGCCACACAGCAAGGCGAGATGGGTACGAAGCTGAAGCGGACGTCATAGCCTTCCCCTCGAATGGTCTGCGAGTTCTCCCAAGTCGAAAGCTGAAGAAACCATGTTTCCCAAGACACCCCAGGCGTCCAGGGTAAGCCATGGCGAAATCCCCAGCTTCAGTCACACAGCCGAACATCATCCGGGCCGCTTTCCGCCACTTCGATCCAAGCGCGCACTGATGCAAGTCCAGCAATCGGCTGTGGGGCATCACGTGAGTGGTCACGTCTGAGCACTTCTACATATACGATGTCTGAGGATTCTCCAGAGCATGCGGCACATTATGCAAACGGCACAACTTGGTCACAAAACAACCGCCGCTCGCATACATAGGTTTCCGACTCTCACGGCCTCCCGATCGTTGTCACGCAAAACAGCGAGCCCCTCTGGTCTCTCGGCTCTCCTCGCAAGATATCGGATCCGAGCCCGCGAGAAAGACGAGCAGGGTGGCGCGAGCACCGCACCGAGGACCCGACCAAGTTTAAAGTGCCGCTCAATCACTTTCAGATTGAGAGAGCTGCACACATCTTGGTCAGGCCCCTTCTTAATATCCAAAGATATCGAATATATCCCAAATCGGCTGGCCGCGCCACTAACGCCTCCGCCGCCTGATAAAAGATCTAGCAGGAACGGGCGCGCCTGAGGCAGTAAAGCCTGGTCACTGGCGCCCGCGCAAGGCCCCGCGGCGCACGAACGGCGGCGCTGGCGCGGCTCGTCCCAGTAGCAGCACATCCTCCAGTTGTCGTGAAGCAGTGACTCCTCGTCTCTTCTGGCAGGGCCTCCCAACTCTCGTTTAGGCAACCGGATTTCTCGTATCTCTTTACCGACGACAGCGCAGCCCACCGCCCTCTCCTCTGCGCCCCCTCCAGAGAGCGCCGTCCTGTTGTCCGATCCATCGATGCTCCGCTGTGCCGTCCTTGATAGGGGACGACCTCGGCTCCGATATTCCGATGTTCAGAGCCGCTCTCTAGAAGAGGCGCAGGAACTGCGGGCAGCTAAAGCCCGGGAGGGGCCTGGGCGAGCCCTGGTCCTTCAGGGCCCGCACTATGTGGCTCATCCAAGGGCGCCCTCCCGAATCGTAGGGCATCGCGTCGTCGGCCGAGCCCGCTCTGCTCCGGGCCGTGCCCGGCCCTGGGAAGAGCCGCGCGACCCAGCTCTGGACAGCGTGCTCGTTCGGAGCCAAGAACGACTTGCAGGTCAAAACCATCGTCTCTCCTGGCCGAATGTAACACTCCACCGCGATCAGCACCGTCGCGCCCGCCAGAGGCGCTCCCAGCCGGCGCAGCTCCACTGCCGTGGCCGCCAAGATCGCATACACCAAGGGCTTCCGAGAGCGAGATGGTGAAAGCTTCTTCCGCCCCCTGCGGCAGCGCAGGGCCCGCGACAGACGCAGCCACCCCAGGCGGCCACAGTCCGGGTGCGAGAACATCAGGCCGGCCATGAGCTTCTCGCCCCGCCAGCTCTTCACCCCCTGCAAGAACTCCGCGTTCACGTAGTCCACCAGGTGGGCGCCCAGCTCCGCGGGCTCTGGCAGCGCGACCGGCGAGCGGCGGGCCCAGACGCAGAACGCGAGCACGCACTGGCGATTGGTCTCGAGCGCGGCTGCCCCAACTGACCGCCGCTCGAGGTAGCTGACCCCAGCCTCTCGTCGCGCTCGGCCTCGGCTGATGTCTCCAGCGTCTCGAGCGCCTTGCGAACGCGGGCCTTCCCCCGCGTGCGCGGGCCTTCCCCCGCGTCTCCAGCCTCTTCGAACTGCTGCCCGCAGCGGGGGCATCCTCGGCGTCGCTGCTCTCCTCGCTCACGCCCGCGGCCTCGGTCGCGGTGCCCGCGCGGGCGGCGGCGCCCACTGGGGGGCGAAGGCCCTGGCGCTGGCCCAGCTCCAGGCGGGCCTCCACGCTCGCCCGGGGAGGCACCTGCACGGGTAGCCCCACCGCCAACGTCGCAGCGAGCCCGCGGCCGCGATCCAGCGTGCGCGCCCTCTGGGCGGGTGGGCCCCCCAGCCGCGCCAGTCGGTCCTCCCCCGCGCTCAGCGTCCACGCGCGCCTGCGGCCCATCTCGGTCGCGGGCGAGTCCACTGGCACAGCAGTCCTGCTCTGCGCCCGCCTCCGCGAGCCCTCGCGGTCGGGCGGCGCTCGCCAAGGAAGCATCAACAAGGCCAGAAGCAACCTCGGCCAAAACAAAGCATGTGCCATGATGGGCGACGAGGGTCTTGCTGGCATCATATTCAATATCAAACCTGCGACTTCCCTCATCGTCAGCGTTGAACTCGCTCGGAAGCCAACGACCACGCACTTGATGTCTCTCGCAGGAACAGAGCTGCAAAACGACGGACTTGAATTAAAAAGCCGAAAACCCCTGGACCTGAATCGGCAGAAACAACACGACGGAGAGGTTTTCTCCCCCCAAAAAACTGCGGCATAGTTCTACAGGCAGACAGTGCGCAGCACGAGACGCAGCCTTCACGAGCGCCCGTGCCTCCAATCTAAGGATATCGTCTGAAAAGGCCCACCTGTCTGCCATCGCTGTGGACCAGCGGGAGTCATGCAACAACTGGCTGGGCACCTCCGGGAAGCTGGGATCGACCTCCCAACGCTCGCTGGCCAGCGCGCGTTGCAGCTCGGCGTCCAGCTGGCGCGGCGCCCCGCTGGCATCGCGGACGACCTCGGCCGTTTCGCCGTCGAGCAGGAAGCCGGCGCACTCGAGGGCGCGCTGCCTCGCGAGCCCAGCGCGCAGGCGCCGCCGCGACAGCTCTGAGATGCGCCCGACCTCTGCCACGGTCTCTGGGTCGAAGCTCGCCTCGGCGACGCCGTCGCCGTAGAGACTGGCGTCGGAGGAGTAGATCACAGGCGCCCACGCGCGGGTCCAGCTCGACCCCAACATCACCATGATACCGAGGTAGCAGGTCCGCTCCTCTCGCGCAGACGGCCACAGCACAGAGAAGGCGTGGTCACTTTGCGCCACGAAAGCGTATACTGCGTGAAATAATGGGCAGTATCTCGTGGCGAACAAAGGCCATGAACGTCATGTGGCCCAGCACCATCTCCAGCTGCCAGCCTGCGACCTTCCGACGCTTCAGCAACCACCTGAGGCCCTTCCGCAGCGTGGCGCACCTCTTGTCGGTCGGCCGAGTAGCGCGGCGCCGGCCATCCACGTGGCAGCCCGAGCTGCGGCCCCCCTCGGGCAGCAGCTCAACCTCGTGGAACTTCAGGTGGTCCTTCTCGAAGTCCGCCTGGGCTTCCAGAAGCGCCGATCGCACGCGCGCCTCCGCCAGCCCGAGGACGCCGGCACTGTCGACGTAAATAAAGTGCCCCATGGCAGGCTCCTCGCCGCCGCACAGCACCAGCGGCGGCCCGCGATCGCTCAGTCGAAAGGTATGGGCCAGCGAAGGCTGCCCGTGAAGCCGTGACTGGTTGGCAGCCTGAGCGAAGTACAGCGACCACGAGAAGCCCATGGAAAGGCTCTGGCTCATAGGCTTAACCAATCCGCCTTCCTTCACGGGGCGGCCCTCCACCAGCGTCTCTCCAGTCAAGGCAACGCCCAGCGGCGGCCAGCAAAGATAACGTCTGATATCACAGTCTAATTTCATCGTGCGCAAGCAATCGGCAACGGCAACGTCACCCACCCCAAGCACAGCGCAGAGTGGTGAGTAGTCGCCCTCCTCCAAGATGGGCATCTCTATGCGACCGAGCCCCTCGCCCGACAGCAAGTCGACGCCCGGGGGTGGGCGGAACGCAGCGTTGCCCCTCCTGCAGTCCACGATCAGACGAAGACGAGCACCATCCATCTTCTTCACGACAAATAAGCCAAGCACGCTCAACGGTCGGCGGGGCTGGCTGACCAGGCCGACGGCGAGCGCGCGCCGAACGAACTTCCCGTAACTCCTCGGCCGCTGCAGCAGCAAAGGATCGGTATGACAACCTGCGAATCCGTCAAATTCCCGCACGAGTGCAGCCCCCCGAGGCGGGGGCAGCACCCTGTTGGCAAACTCCTCGAGATAGAGCCTCGCCAGCGCGGGAAGCACAGTGGCCAGGCTCGGCGCGTCGACGACGCTGTCTGGCAAGCTCGCCCGCGAGCGCTCGTGGGAGCCCATGCTGGTCGAGCCAAGCGGGGCATATCCCGCCTTGCCCTTAAGAAGCCTGGCGAGGGCCTCGCGAAGCCACCGCCGCCGCTGGGCCGCGCCGAGGCCCTCGCACTCGGTTGCCCTTGGATCAGCAGGGAGCGGTTGGGCGCCCACCCCCATCGGCCCCGGACGTCGTGTGTCCGGCGGGCGACGCCCGCGGCTCCGCCCGCCTCTGCGTCCGCGTCCGCGGCCGCGGCCACCGTCTCCGCCATCTTTAGCGCCCTCTCCTGCCGCGCCGCCTCCAGGGGGCGCCGGCCCACCAGCCTCCGCGGCCGCCGCAGCTGCCCCGCGGCCGCCGTCGCCTGGCGCGCCGCCAGGGGCCTTGGCGCGCGCCCGAAGCGCCTCCAGCTCGTGCTCCTCCTTGCTGAGCCGGCTCGCGAAGCTCCGCTGCGCGCCCGACACCAAGTCCAGCGGTTTGGTAGTCCCCGCCAGGTGCTTCGCCGCGGCCCAGTCGGCGAAGTCCGCCCTGCGCGCGTAGGCCTCCGTGCACTGCAGCAGCGGGCGAGCGACCACCTCCAGAGACGCGAGCGCCCCCGCGTTCACCTTGTCGTAGGTGCCCGCGAGGAACAAACGCTCCATGAGTGTTTGCAGCTCGTGGCGCGCTCGGTCTCGCCGAGAGGTCCCCGTCGCCCTGCGCCGCCCCTGAAACCAGATCTTCGGCGCGCCGCCGCGGCGGCACATCTTGCGGCACACCTCCAAGCAGGCGGGCGGTCCGCGCAGGCCGGGGTCCGGGAAGACCTCCTGCGTGCTCTCCTGCGCCACCCTGCGCCGCTCTTTGAAACAGGCCCCCTGTCTCGTCCACGTCGATCCAACAAGTGCGGATGTCCTCCTGTCCAGCGCCGTCAGCAGCGGCGGCGCCCGCCCCGCCAGGCTCCGCGGGTGGCGCGCGAGCGCCCCCGACCTCGCCAGCAGGGAAGGGGCGATCGTCCAGCCTGGCCCTCGCAGGCCTCAGCCGATCGGCCGCCGCGATCTTGGCGCCGCGCGAGCTCTCGGTCTCTTCTGTCGGGGCGTGCCCGATCGGAACCCACTCGCCATCGGCGCCGCGGTCGAGCCCGCGTCGCCCTCGAAGGATCGCAGCGGCGCTCAGCTCGAGCTCGCGCCCGAACGCGTCGCCAGCATCCATCGACGCCGGCGCCCGGCACCCGGGGGGCCGCGGCTCAGGCGGCGGAGGCGGCAGCACCCCGCCGTCGGCGAGCGGCAAGGCGGCGGGCTCGGTCTGGGCCGCCGAGTGCTTGCCCCGCAACCGCCGCCGCACTCGCGGCACCTCCGCCGCCGTCGCGGGAGGCGCGGCCAGCCGCCCACCGTTCCAGTCAACTGCGTCCTGCGTCCACCAGTCCGCGGCGTCGCTGCGACTCAGGAGGCTGATCGCCTCGGCGTCGAACAGAGGCCTGTTGAACGTAACAACGTTCCGAACGCCAGGTGGGAAACGCCTCCCGCCCGTCCACGTCACTGCGGAGCGGCGGTAGTCCGTCCAGGTCTCTGCATACAAGTCGGTCTCCGCCGTATAAACCATCCACTCCGAGCCATCGGCATCGCTTGGCCACTGCAGCAACCTCTCGTGAGTCCAGCCCGCATCTTCCTCGTACTGAAACAAAATCCGCAGCCCAGGGGCCGCATCTGGCAGCGGCGCCACCACTGCGCCATGTGGATCCTGGCCTCGCCGATCGGCTCGAGAACGATCCTCGCCGAGCAGCGCCGCGTCAGCTGCCTCAAGGCGGCGCCGTAAGCGCCAGCGGCCGCGATTCCAGCCAGCGCGGCGAGCGGAACCTCCACCGTGGCCGTCAGCCCGTCTCCAACCACCCGCAGCGGCTGCGGCGCGGCCGGCACTGGCGCCACAGGCGCCGGGCAGTCCACCACCGTCGAGGTCGTGGGCGGCAGCGCGGTGGTGGTAGCTGTCGAGCTGGCCTCCAGGGGCAAGGGGCCGAATCCCCCGCGGGCCGCAAAGCCTGCCCAAAAGGTGAGCACGGCCCCGAGCAAGCTGGCCGGGTACTGCTTCGGAAGCATACCCGCTGAAAGCTTGAGCCCCAGCAGCGTCGGAGGGACTGCTGCTGAAGGGGCTGCAACATCTAAAAAGGAGTTCAAGCAATTACGCTCCACGCGCACACATCTCCTCCTCTCCGTCCTCTTTCTCCTGCTCCTGCTCCTGCTCCTGCTCCTGTTCCTGCTCCTGCTCCTGCTCCTGCTCCTGTTCCTGCTCCTCCTCCTCCTCCTCTTCCTCCTCCTCCTCCTCCTCCTCCCATCTAACACTCACCTGACATTGACCAGGAGCGTCTCCCGTCAAATCCTTCCTGCTACTGCTTGCCCTCCTCATCCTCATCCTACGCGTATTCCTCTTTCCTCCTCCTCTTCCTCCTCCTCCTCCTCCTCGTCCTCCTCCTTTTCCCTCCCCTCCGCTGCCTCCTCATGCCTCCACCCTCTAGGGGTTTAGAATGAGGGGCTAAGGGTTAGGGTGGGGGCTCAGGTCAGGGCTAAGGATAGGGCTTAGGGTTAGGGTTCGAGGTTTAGACTCAGGATTACGATTATGCGTTAGGGTTAAGGATTAAGTTCGGGTTCGGTTTGGCGGTTCGGGTCAGGGTTGGGGATTAGGGCTAGGGGTGAGGGTTCGGGCAAGGTTTCAAGCTACGGGTCAGGGTTCGGGTCAAGCTACCCACCCGCCCGCAAGCCGTCTAGCTCACTCCCTCCCGCCCTCCCAACACAAAAGTAGCACCCGAGCCTGAGCATGTTCAGCGGTCGTCTCTGCATGGACAGCTACTGGGAACCAAAGCCGATCCCAGGTGCGCGACGTTTGGGCGAGGTGCGCCACGCGTGCCAGGGGCGCCACGCGCGCCAGGCACCCGTGGGGCCCAAGCGTGCCAGGCACGCCTGGTGCGCCAGATGCGTCACGTGCTCCGACTGCGCCAGGTGCGCCGCACACTCCAGCAGCGCCAGGTGCGCCACGTTCAGGGCACGTGCAGGGTGCGTCCGGTGCGCGTGCCCACGTGACAGCACACATCGGGAAATCGGCCCCCACCATCCTTGTCGAAAGCCAAAGCACACCATTGCGTCCGGTGGGCCTGCGCACAGCAGGCCACGCGCCACCACCCCCGCCGTCCCTGTCAAAAACCACTCGACAGTGATCGCGGGGTCGCGGCGCATGATCCAGAGTCAGCCGCGAGGTGCATTTTGTTATTTTGATTTTCTTGTCAGGGATGGTAGCCCTGCGCACAGCAGGGAATATGCTGACACCCCTGCCGCCCCTGTCAAAAACCATACAACGTGCTCGCGGCCTCGCGAACATGACTCAAGACGTTGGCCCAAAATGTACTTTGTAATGTTTTTGACAGGGATGGTGGGGGCGGCGCATCGGGTTGGCCGCGCATGCTCCAAATGTGGATGCAGAGCGCGTTTCGTATTGTTTTACGACAGGGATGGCAGGGAAGGTGGCCCGCATGGGGTCGGCATGGTTCCGGGCTGGCCGCCAGCCGGGTGAGGAATGGGGGTGTATACTAATAGGGAACAGCGATTTAGGGTTAGTGTTGAGAGTTGAGGGCGAGTGTCAGGATTATGGGTAGGGTTGGGGCTTAGGGCAGAGGGTCAGGATTCGGGATTAGGGTCAGGGGTACGGTTTAGGCTTTAGGATTAAGGTTATGCGTTCGAGTTAGGGGTCATGGTGGGACCTCGGACTGGCGGCGGACCTGCGAAACTTGCCTGAAACATGAAAGCTTTGCCTGGCGGGGAACGCCGCCGACACGCGGAAATATTCAGAATTAGGGCGGGCGCGGGCGGGCGTGTTGCTCGACCGCGACCCTTGCGATGACTTGTGCTCAGGACGGCTTTGTATGAATGGTGCCTGCTTCTGCTCCTGCCTGCCCTCACTTTTGAGAGTTAGGGTTTCGGGTTTCGGGTCTAGGGGTAGATGTTAGGGTTGTGGTAAGGGTTCAGGGTCACGGGTTAGGGGCTACAGTGAGGGCTAGGGGTTACGATGGGGGCTCGGGTTAGGGTTCGGGTTTAGGGTTAGGGATCAGGTTTAAGATTCGGTTGATGGTTAGGGCTTAAGGTTGAAAAGTAGGATTAAGGGTTAGGGTCAGGGATTCGGGTAGAGGTTAGGGGCTCGGGTCAGGGGTTAAGGTTGGGTTAGGGTTGGGTTAGGGTTAGGGTTAGGGGTGAAGGTTCGGGTTCGGGGTTAGGGGTTACGGTTCGCGTTTAGGGTTAGGTTTAATGTTGAGGGTTGAGGGTGGATGTCAGGGTTGAGTTAGGGATTAGGGTTAGGGGTTTGGGTAGGCGGTCAGGGCTAGGGTTCGGGGTTAGGGCAAGGGTTACGGATTAGGCTGTATGGTTAGGGTGATGGGTTAGGATTTGGGTTCGGGGTTAGGGTGGGACCGCGGACTTGCGGCGGACCAGCGGGCCATGCCTTAAACATGAAAGCTCTGTTTAGCTGGGGGCGTCGCCGTCAAGCGGGAGCTTTCAAAATAAGACGGGCGCGCTGATCGGCCGCGACTCTTGCAACGATTGATTATTCAGGCTGGTTTCATATTAGTGGTGTATGATGTTGCTTTGCGGGTTGTCTCTTCCGACTCGATTTCGACGAGTAGCGTTGCGTTGGGGACTCGGGTTAGGGTTAGGGATAGGGTCTAGGTTTAGGGTTAGGGATCAAGGTTTAGAGTTCAGATTAGGGTGATGCGTTGGGGTTAGGGATTCGGTGCGGGGTAGAGTTAAGCGTTCGGGTCAAGGATAGGGTCTAGGGTTTGGGTGTGAGTGTTCGGGCACGGTTAGGGCTAAGGGCCAAGGTTAAGGTTTAGGGTTTCAGGTCCACTAGCCTCTATTCGAAGCCCGCTACATGACCCTTCACATACAGAGCTCAACACGTCGAGGACGTCCTCGCGAATCGCACACGCAGCACTTGCGCAGCGCCTCAACCCGATGCAGCGGCGACGCGGCATGGGATCGAAGCGACTAGTGGGTAGCTCCCTACAGCAAGTTACCAACGCATTGGCGATGTGCCGCGCAGTTTCGCGCGTCGCTGGGGGGCGATGAGAGACTCCGCCCCCCGCCTCTATTGCGTCCGCGTCCACTCGAGCTCTGGGCAGGCTGCTCGCGCAGCCCTGCCAAAACGCTGCTCCCTGGTTCACGCCGCCATGACTCGCAAGCGCCAGGCGGCTTTCGGGGCAGCCGACTCTGCTGGCGGCGCGGTAGAGGCAGCGGCCGAGCGTAGGCGGGCCCCTGGTCGGGTGCAAGGGATTCGGGCCGCATGCATGGGGAGCCGTTTTTATCGATGGATTCTGGCCGCATGGGCACAACACCATATCTTTTACAAAAGAAAATGGGGGGCGCTGAAGGAGCGGCATGAGGGATGTCCGTAAGGGATCTCAGGATTCAAATGTTTATCGGCTCTTAGTTCAGGGTGGGTGTTAAGGTTAGGGGTCAAGGTTGGGGCTCGGTTGACGGCTAGGGTCTATGGTAAGGGTTAGGGTTCAACGTTTAGACTGCGGAGTATGGTTATGCGTTAGGGTTAGGGATCAAGTTAAGGGTAGGGTTCGGGGTTCGGGTCAGGGGTTAGGGCTAGGGGTGAGGGTTCGGGCAGGGTTTAAGGCTTCGGGTAGGGGTTAAGGTCCAGCTATCCACGCGCCCGCAAGCCGTCTAGCTCACTCCCACACGCCCACCCGACACAGAAGTGATATCCGAGCCTGAGCACGTTCAGCGGTCGTCTCTGGATGGACAGCTACTGGGAACCAAAGCCGACCCCGGTCGCGCGACGCTTGGGCGAGGTGCGCCACGCGTGCCAGGGGCGCCACGCGTTGACCTCCTTAAAAGTGAGTTGCCCTCCCTGTTCCCCCCTACGGCTAGGTTCCTGGGGGAGTGTCCGGCAAGGCGTTGCCACATTGCCGCCCGTTGCAAAATCGTTACCGCCTCCTGCGCTGGGTGGCTTTGGCGAGGCTTCGTCATGTTGACGCCCGTTGCCGCTTCGTTGCCGTCTCTTAGTTGCACCACGTATACCGCACCACATAGCTTACACTACATCGATTGCACCACGTCGCTTATGGGGAGACCGGAGGGGACCGATGCCGCGACTCCCCAGACCTCACCCAGGGTGCTTCGAGGCGAATCCAGCGGTTGCAACGAGGGCCTCCGAGGAGACCCAAAAGGGGAAATCGGGCGAAGGGTAGAAATATGGATACAATTTTCCTCCTCTGAGCTTACTCATCCAGAAACATGTGCTGCTTGGAATCGCGCTGGCTACCATTCCACACGCTTCCCGGAAAGACGCGAGGGGTGGAATCAAGCAAAGCAGGCGGGAATGGAGGGCCTATGGAAAGTCTATGTGTGTGTGTGGTTTTCCATAGCGTGCGTTCTTTTTGCATAGACATATGTGTGTGTTTTTCCAGATGCGTCTTTTATCCGAACGCTACCTTGACGACCTCCATCCGCCTCGAGGCAGACGCGCGCGCGCAATGGCTCGGCGAGGCGGGCCGGCCGCCTGCGCACTCCGGGGGGTCGTCGACGGCGCCGCGCTTGCAGCAGGCGTTGCCCTCTCCGCACCTAAGGGGAGGAGGGCGGATGACGCCACAGATAGAAGTGAAGGGGCCCTGGGACACACAAATAAATAAACACAAATAACAGGATTCCCAATACTTTCCAATATTTTCTGGGTTTTCTTCCCACCCAATTCCCATATTTTGCCACATTTTCCTGGGAGTCGACGATTGTGTCTGTGTGGTTCTTTTCCTCCTGGAGAAGAACAAACGCCACAAACATTGAACTTTTGGCGCTCCGCACGGATTTCTTGGATCTGCGCTGGGCTCCGGCGGCGCCTCCGGCCCCGCCCCTGGCGCGCTCAGCGCGCCAGGGAGGGGGGCCAAGCGCGGATCCAAGAAATCCGCTCGGAACGCCGAAAATTTATGCTTATGGCGTTATGTCTTCTTCGAATGGAGGAGCAGGACGAGGAAGACGGGCAGGACGGAGGAGGGAGGGCGGCCAGAGAAGGGTGTGAACCACTGAGCAGTCCGAAAACGGATACCCATCGGTCGGAAGAAGTAGGTAGAAACATGAAATAGGAAGGCGTTGGAAATAGATTGGGTTTCCGCCCGCCTCCTGAAGAGGAGGGAAGAGGGAACACCACTCGACTCTTGAAGTAGGAAGGCGCTGAAAGTAGATTGGAATATGGGAATCCAAAAATACCTACTTTCAACGACCGATGGGTACGGGAACATGTGTACCATGTGGAATGCTGGGGACAATGAGTACGAAACCCGGCAATCGCCTCATTAACCGTTAGTCGTCTGCGATACCTTGCCCACCACCCAGCAACCACCAGGGCGTGCCGGTCGGAGGATAAAAGATGCGGTGCGACTCCCATCACATCGGCGATGCTCGAATCGAATCCTTTGATAGCCGGGGCAATCGCAAGCGTTTCGTTACCCGCATTCCACCTCTCAGGGCGCAAGGCTGTGCGGTCGTGGCCAGGCTGCTGCCCTGCTGCGGTCCAGTGATAATGTAGCATGTCTTGTCTTGCATTCTGTCTCTCCAGTCACGTCTCATTTCTCCTCTGTACGAGGGGGCCAATGGCGAAACGAGAGTCGCTCGCTTAGAAAATTATCGACCGCCCTGGCCGATACAAACTGCTTTTCAATTATCCCAAGGCCACCACCGAAAGGGCAAGAGCGCCCGAGAGATATGTAGGAGGGCCCGTAAAGCTCCCCAGAGGCCCACAAGAGTTTTTATCTACCCAATGTTGGCCAAACATGTCTCTCAGATGGCCCAGAGGTCCCCGAACGACCCATCGGGCCAGAGGACAAGGCCGCCGACATCTGCCAAAACCTAACAATAGTATGAAATTGCTGAATTGGTTCTGCCAGCCTTGGGACAACGATGACTGGTAGGCCTGTGGGCGCGCAAAGCAGCCAACGAGCTTCGGGTCGCGCACGCTGCGCTGGCATAATGGAGCCCACGCTGTATCCTGGGGAGGGGGGGGGCGGGGTCCCCGCTGCAAAACGCAACGCAAATTCCATGCGAAACAAATCGTCGGCCCAAACGGAAACGGCTTGGCAAACGCAACAGAGGGGAATCCCCTGGCCTGCTCTCCCGACAAAGACTCGCCGATTAAATACAGATCAGACAGCAAGGTGTTCTCGATAGAACAACCATTCTCACACTACCCCCAAATCGGGCTCCTAAATCTGAGTATGTCCCGTTATACATGGAGGCCCGCAGGTAGTCAACCCCAATATTGCACAAGATGGCATCGATGTGGCCCCAAGATGCCCTCAAGGTGGCCCAGCAAAGCCCCACTATTGCATTAGAAAGGCCGCAAGATAACACCAAGAGGTCCGAGACATTGACCAAAATGGGCCCGCAATGGCACCCAGACCCCCCTTGGTGCACTAGAAAACCTCCAGACCAGCCCAAAAAGACCAAGATGGCTCAACTTGGGGGCTGGCAACAGGGGGCGGGCGTAACCTGTGACATATATGCTGCCTCATTATCACATCGATTGAATGCTACACCGCCAGACGCGTTACTGGTAGCATAACACTGTAACCTCACTCATTAGCGGACCGAATGCACCAGAAAGCGCTCGACACGTCATCTGGTAGCGGACCATATCGTTCTTAGATGTGTTACTGGCTCCCCTTGCGGGACTGAGTGAACATCAGCGGGCCATAGACACTCCTCATTGAATATCCCTCACCTCCCTCCCCATCCTCTTCCGCCCTCCCGAATCCCTCCTTCTCATGTGTTTGACTTCCTCACTCTTCCTCATTAATCATCTGTTATCCGTATCCCCCCTCCTGCTGAATCCAGGCGTGTCCTGCGACCCACAAGAGGGTAAACACACGAGGCGAATGGGGCAACTCGCTGATCCGATCGACTAGGACAGCAAACTTACTGAATCCGTCGGCCCGGTTCTTGGAGCCTGGCGTGGGTGGTCGGTTTCAGTGCGCTGCTGGAGGAGGACGACCCGAGAGCCCAAGCATCTGTCCTGGTGATCTGGTCACGAGTGGCTACCCGGAGGTCCGAATCCATGCTTGAGGACCATTCTGAGTAATGCACGGACGGTCCTGGAGTCAGGCTGATACTTGCCAAGCGCAATGACGTCCCCGCAGTGTTGTTTTCTGACGGCGCGAGGAGGCCAGGGAATGGCCAGACCGCGACCGAGCACAGACCGAGCTCCTCCATGGGGCTGATCTGGCAGAGGCGCACGAACATATTATCCTGAGAACGTGTGTTAGCGACAACGTTTGCCACCGAAGCCATTCAATGCGACGCACGCGGTGTAGCGAGGACCGATGAAAGCTGCGTCCTATCGGCGGAGCTGGGCGAAGATAACACTCATTGTTGAGCAGGGACCGACCGTCCCGGCACTCCTATAGGTAGAACAAGAATGATTAAAAACACACACGCACCGTTTTTATAACATAAAGCAGATGTATTAAACTCCAGGCGGTCTCGGCTAGACATGTTGTGGTCTGGCACTGAACGTTGTGTACGAACAGCAGAACAGGTTCTTAGAACATCCTTTGGTGGCCCCATAGGAAAGAAGCCAGGACGCCTCGCCACTGCTTGACATCGGGCTGACACACGTCCTGGGATCTTCGAAAGAAGCCTGCGGCGGCCCCAAGGAGGCCGGGTGGCCCTGGTTAGCAGCCAGCGGCGCGGCAACCGACGGGGAGGGCGCGAAGGCTTGGGACCGAAGCATCAGATGAGCATCGTTTAACCGACCCCTATCCCCATGGGCGTGGCCTGGGCCCCACTGGCCGATGTATCCCCCCAGATGGGGATATAGGCCGTTTCCTTCAGGTTCTGATGGGTCTATCCCCGACTGGGGTGGCAAATGTTGGGGTCTGGATGGAGATAGGGATAGGTGCCGGTCGACCGATCCTGATCGGAAACTCGGGCGCACTGACCAGGCTGGACCAGCACCTGCCCCGCCAGCAGCTGGCTCGGTGCAGCACACACTTTTGCCCCCCTCACCAGCCGACCAAGCTGGACCTGGAAATCCCGCATCCAGCCGTCCCGAGCCGAACCCCTCCCGCTTCCCCGCCCGATCCGCGAGAGCAGGAAGGGGAACGACTCAAAGAACGCCAAAGTCGCGTGCAATCCGCTCGGGAGCCAGCTTGAGCCTTTCACGGCATGGCGTGGAGGAAGTGACCGCATAATTGCGATACGTGCGCGGACTCACGTGAGAATCACCATTCGGAAAGATTGTTGGTGCCGACCTGGTTATTGAAAATTGAGCCGCTTCGCTCTGAGGAGTGGCTGGGTGAGGGGGGCGGAGATAAGGAGGAGTAACAAGTCTGGCAAGTTCGTGTCGTGACGACTTGCGCAATGGTGACGGGTACCGCGTCAGTCGTGCATCCTTGAACGATCGCGGCTTTTCGATGGCGCGGGTCATTCAATGCCGACCGATTCTTGGCCACCTGGCGGCATTCAACGATGAACGCGCGCGCTGGGGTCGCCACCCGTCGACACGGCGCGAGCCTGCCGTTCGAGGAGGAGAAGCGAGGAACTGAACTGAAAACGACTCGAGCCCAACTCGTCGTCCAGCAGCGCTGCACACGAATATCTGCAACGCCTACGGCCCACGGGCACCACTCTGGCTCTGGGCCTCTCGGGTGGACCACAACCCTGCCGCCCACGCAAGTGCGCGGGCGCCATCGAGCGCTCAGGCAGTGGGCGCCCCACGTGCGCTCGGGTAATCATCCTTTGAATCGTCCTCTGAGTCGCAGTCGGACGAGTCGTCCTCTGCCCTGATGTTTGCTGCTTGCCCGTGGCGCGGGTCGTCCAATGTCGGCCGATTCCTGGCCACCCGTCGACACGGCGCGAACCTGCCGTACAGAAAGAGGAGGAGGAAAGGAGGAAGGAGAAGGAGGAGGAAGGAAGGAGTCCGCCCCCACCCCCCGCCCAGAGAAGGAAGACCCGCCCAGAGGAGGGGGAGGAGGAGTAGGGGGAGGAGAGGGAGGAGGAAGGAGGAGGAGGAAGAGGAGGAGGAGGAGGAGGAGGAGGAGGGGGAGGAGGTGGAGGAGAGGAGGAGGAGGAGGAGGAGGAGGGGGAGGGGTGGAGGAGGAGGAGGAGGAGGAGGAGGAGGAGGAGGAGGAGGAGGGAGGAGGAAAGGAGGAACGATGCGGATGAGGAGGAGGAGGAAGGAGAAGGGAGGAGGGAGGACGAGAGGGGGAGGGAGGACGAGGGGAAGGGGAGGCAATGACCCGCATCCCGCCACGCCCGCCGTCCACAACGGCGGATGCTCCTGGGCCCGGCCCAGATCCACGGCCGCGGCCACGGGGGCTCGCGAGCGGCGGGCGGCGCGCGCTAGGCGGGAGGGGCGCCAGCTGCAGTAGCCCCGGAGGCCCTCCTGCCGTCGGGGGGGGGACGAACCTGAGGGGCAACGGCAGGGGGGATAGGCACAGGGCGGGAAGTATCGACCTGGAGTCGGCGATGCACTGCTGAGAGATCGGCGACATGCCCTCGATAGTGAATCCGCACGTTCCTGGGCGGGTTTGGACTTTCGGACCCCTATCGGCGTTCAATGGGCGATCGGGGGTCGATGCATCCCTCCCTATGCCTATCCCCCCCCTATGGTTGCCCCCGAGACTCCCTCCCTACCCTGGCAACTTCCTCCAACACCCCTCACCCTCTCCCCCGTCCAAATTCCGACGATCAAAAATGGACACCTCAAGCGCAAGCATGAAACCAAACGATTACACATCAAGCTGATCAAACTTCATCCTTTGCAGGACTTGGCGTGTATATGCGGACTTCAGAGAGAGAGAGAGAGAGAGCGAGAGAGAGAGATAGAGAACATTTCAAGTTCGCTTGCCATGGGAAAATCCTCAAAAAGGGTCTCGGCACCAAGGACCCCACCCAAACAACAAAAAATCCAGGCCCTCTCCCAAACCGGAGGACCCCCTTGCCCCCCCCCCAGTTCTCAAACCCGCCCCATGGGTAAGGAGGGGAGGGGAGGTGGGGTTCTTGACTACCCCCACTCCCAGCGCAAGGGAAAGTGCGAAAACACCTCTTTGCCGCCAGCATGCGACGACGACGACGCCATCTGCCGGCGGGAATGGGTTCAGAGCTCCCTTCCCCATTGCGCCAGGGGGGCGGCGGGGGGCGCTACCAATCCCTCCCTTGCCCAAACGCATGTGACAGACGATCTTTCCAATGTCAGGATATGGAAACACCTCCCCTTGTTATCCTCCGCCACCGTCTTCTCGAATCCCCAATATTCTTGCACGAACCTCCACTCCTCCTTCTTTCATTTTCCTTTCTGCCAACCCTTGCCCTTCTCTCCTCATTCCACCTCCCGCTTCCCTTCGCCCTTGTTCACGTCTTCCCCCTCTGCACCTCCTTCGTCATCTCTCCTTGCTCCCTGCTCCAAATGTTCTTTCTCGTTCCCGTCTTGTCCACTTCTCTTCCTACTTCCTCTATCATTGTCTCTCCCCCTGCTGCCATCATCCATACTCCTTGCTCCTCTTCCTGGATTCGCTCATCCCTGATTCCTCCCTCTTCTTGTAGTTGCGGCATCCTTCTCCTCACGATTACCTTTCACGACTGCGGAGACCTGAAGCACGGTGACTCTCGACCACCAATTCCTCCTCCCCCTCCATATCCCTCCCTACCACCGCAATGTCCTCCTAAATAGAATATTCGCACCATCAAAACGTCATCCTATCGTCCACGCGCGCTCATGGGCGCACATGTACCTCCAGTGAGAAAGTTTGCGAGCACACGTGGCATTACGGTGGATCTGGCCAATCGTGCGCAGATCTGGTGTTGGTCCTAATCAAACCTTACAGTGAATGTGAATCCCGCCCGAGGAAATACGATTTTCCCATGTTCTGGAGCTGATACCCGCCCCTTTTCTCTATGAGGGCATAGCTTCCACCTTTAATCTAATGTATGCAGCGTTCACTAGCGTGGCCCCTAACGGTTTAACATGTCATCTAGACATGTACTATATGTGGTGCAATATACGTGAAGTAAAACATGTGAGACAATATATGAAGAACAACCCACGCGGTGCAAGCTGTGGTCCACGTGGCGCGAACTAGTTGGTGCAAGCTATGCAATGCAGTCCATGTGGCGAGATATTAGGTGGTGCATGCGACAGACGGTGCAAGCTACGTCGTGCACCATATGTGGCGCAATCTACGTTGCGCATCTTGTGTGCTGCAAGCCATGTGGTGCAAACTATGTGATGTAAACTACGTGGCGAGCGCTATGTGGTGCACCCACCGCGAAGGGGGGCCACTAGGCGCCAGCGAGCGCGGACCAGGCGAAACCCCGATCCCATTCCTCCTCCTCCTCCTCCTCCTCCTCCTCCTCCTTATCATCATCATCATCATCATCATCATCATCATCATCATCATCATCATCATCATCACCACCACCACCATCATCATCATCATCATCATCATCATCAGCATCAGCATCAGCATCAGCATCAGCATCAGCATCAGCATCAGCATCATCATCAACAGCATCATCAACATCATCAGCATCATCATCGTCAACATCAGCAGCCACATCCGCATCCGCATCCGCATCCGCATCAGCATCAGCATCAGCATCAGCATCAGCACCAGCATCAGCATCAGCATCATCATCATCATCATCATCATCATCATCATCATCATCATCATAGTCATCATCATAACCATCATCATCATAATCATCATGACCACCATCATCATCATCATCATCAGCATCATCATCATCAGCATCCTCATCCTCACCCTCCTCCTCCTCCTCATCATCATCATCATCCTTCTCCTCCTCCCCTCCTGCTCCGCCTCCTCCGCCTCGTGCTCCCCCTGGACAAGGTTGGGTGTCGCCCGATACTGCCTGCTAGCCAGCCATTCGCGCAGCCACGCGCACTCACGTCTGGCGACTGGCCTACGAGCGCGCCCCCCCCATTCTTCCTTTTCGACGTATCGCCTGCGAGCCAGGCGGGTCTGCGGCACCCTGCAAATTCTGGCGGCGATCTTGGCGCCGCGGGTGTGCCGGGAGTGCGGGACTCTCAGGCGCTGACGTCCACGCGCTTGTAAACGTCGTGCGTCTCGTTTTTGTGGGCGTTGTCGGCGGTGCAGTCCTCAGGGACGAGGGGCAGCAGGTGGAAATGGGAGGAAGATGAGGAGGAGGAACGGAGATGGAGGAGGGCGGCGAGGAGAACGACGAGGAATGTGAGGAGAGGGAGGGGAGCAGGTCGGCTGAGCGGGCCAGCCGCGCGCCGACGCAGGAGCTGTCAAAACCGTCCCTGGGCCCAAGATGAAAAATCTGCACGTGCAGTTGGCATGCCGAGGTCGCCCTCGCTCCCCTCCGCCTCCCCCTCCCTCGCTCCTCCATCCTCCCGGTCATCCTCCCCCGTCGCCACCTCCCCTGTCGTCCCCCTCCCCCTCCCGCCCCAGCCTCCTCACCCCGCCCCCCTCTCCTCCTCCATCCTGACACCCCTCCCCCTCTCCCTCTTGCCACTCCTCTTCCTCCTGCTGCTACTACCCCCTGCCCATACACTAGAGGTCTCCCAAATGATGTCCGAATACATGGTCGAAGGATCGCGTCGCATCGCCGATGTAGTGGCGATGCACCCGCGACGTCGTCGATGCATCGGCGCTATCGGCGTGGAGAAACTCGGGCTACACATCGAGCCGCATCGCCGATGAATCGGCGATGCTGCGCGATCATCCGACCCCATCTGCTCTTACTCCAGAGCCTAGTTTGTCCTCCTCCTTTTCCTCCTCCTCCCACTACTACCCTCCTTACCCATCCACGTTCTCCTCTTCCTCCCTCCCCCTCTTCCAGTTGCGTCCAAGACAGGGGGGCGCAAATCATGCATGGCCCAAGGCACGTGCGCGGTCCAGGGGGGGGCAAGGGGCGCATTGAAAGAAGAACATTGGCCATGAAATCAGTGGAGATTTCATCGCCCTTGGCATGATATCCACCCCTCCTAGGTATCATCCCCCTCTTGAACGCCTCCGACTCTCCCTCATCCTCCTCCTCCTCCTCCTCCTCCTCTTCCTCCTCGTCTCTCCCCCTCTTCCTCCTCCCGATGATCCTCAGAACGTGAGTTAGCGCCAATGTTGCCTGTCCACCGACGTCCCTCGGTACGACGCGGGCGGTGCAACGAGACCCGACACAAGCTGCGCGCCTCCGGTGGAGCGGAAGGAGGAAACGCACACACTGCGCTAACACAGATCCTGAAGATCATCGATCCTCTCCTCTGCGTACACGTCGCACCGGTACACGAAGAACGGGGTGGCGTCCGCCGTCAGCGGGACGCCGGCCTTCACGACCGTCCCAGGAGCGGGCCCGGGCTTGCCACCGAAAGCGAACGCCTTGAAGTCAGGGCTCGCCTCGCGGGCAACACGTGGAAAAGGAGTCAGACGGAGGGGACCCAAAGAGGCCCCACGAGGGGGGCCTCGACAAGGCTCCTCGAACATCGAAAGCCTTCCACCGTCCTCGTCTTCAACTTTCTCCACTTTCTTACTTCAACCGTCGTCTTCCATTTCATTCTCGACCGCTTTCTCTCTCTCTCTCTCTCTCTTCTCTGAGGGTCGGCGGAACGGCGAAAGCCTCTTGAGTAAGGGGAGGAGAAGCAGGAGGAGGAGGCGGATTATTATACAGTTTATGATGAGTTCAACTCTGTGATGTGCTCAGCTCCACTTCTTCTTTGGCGGTCTCCTGGGTTGGATGCGACTAGATGGGGTCGGAATCTGGCGCTTCGTCGATGCATCATCGATGCATCGGTGATGCATCGACGACGACCCAACGATGCATTGGCGCCGTCGGCTTGGAAAGGATCGGGTCCCACATCGAGTCGCATCGCCGATGCATTAGAGATGTGACGCGATCTTCCGTCCTGGTCTACTTCCTGTGATAAGAGAGAGGGGATGAGAAGCAGGAGGTGGAGGTGGAGAAATGCCTGGCTGCTTATGTGCTCAGCTCTGTTGTGTGCTCGGCTTCACGTCTCATTGCTGACGCTCGACGTCGGCGGCCTCGCTGGCGCCTGCTGATACCTGCTGGCGTCTCATGCCTGGTGCGCCCGTGGCTTGGCACGCGCCAGGGAGGAAACAGGGACGATCGGGCGGGTGGTATAATGGGGGGGTGGCCCAGATGAGAGTGAATAAAAGAGGCCCTTCGGGGGCCCTTCAGGGGGTCCTTTTGGGCACCTGCTGCCTCCAAAAGGGGGCCCAAAAGGCCCCTGTTGGACCCATTTCTTCACCCGCAAATTGGGTCACCCCCCATTACCACCCGCCCGACTGTGGGGGGGAAGAACAAACATATGTGAACGATGGTCGTTTTCTCTTCCTCCTCCTCCTCCTCCTCCTCCTCCTCCTCCTCCTCCTCCTCCTCCTCCTCCTCCTCCTCCTCCTCCTCCTCCTCCTCCTCCTCCTCCTTACGTCCTCAACACTCCTCCTCCTCCTCCTCCTCCTCCGCCCCCTCCGCCTGTCCAGACACATCCCTCCCCCGCCCTCCTAGCACGCAGTGCGCACAACTGTCCCCTTCTCCACATTAAGATGACCCGCTCTCTGGCCAGCACTTTTTGTCAGTCGAAGTGCAACGCTGGCGATTTATCATGCGGGACCCTGCGCACACGCTGGATGACGCCAGCGCAGGAACAGAGACTGAAATCCACAACAAAAAGTCTGTCGAGGCGAGGGCTGGCTTTGGGCGGACAGAAAAAGGCTTGAGAGACAGTGTCCATGGCGATCGTCAACATTACCATTGACATTAGCATGACCCGCTCTCTGGCCAGCACTTTTTGTCAGTCGAAGTGCAACGCTGGCGATTTATCATGCGGGACCCTGCGCACACGCTGGATGACGCCAGCGCAGGAACAGAGACTGAAATCCCGTAATCACGCCATTTATATGCAGTAAGCTGGCTAGCAAGACGATTCACAATTGGCTGAGCGTGGCCACAGCACGGCGATGGACTACATGAATGAGAACATCGCCGATGAACTTAAAAATCTCTGGGGGGTATGGCTCCGCAACCTTCGAGAGCCATTTACCCCCCATCTTCCCTCGGATGTGCACATGTTTACGACCAGTGAAAGAACAGAGCCCCCCGCGACCATGGCAGCGCAGGTGCGGGGCTTCGACCGTGCCACAGTGCTGAAAGACTAGCTTGGTTCTCTTGCGCATGGGCCCTCCAGCAGCACAGAAATCCACATCGACCACGGAGCCGCGAGCGAGAGCTCGGCGCCGGGAAGGGAAACACCAGAGGATGGAGGTCTGTGGGTTCTCTTCGCCGCAGCAGATGCCCAAGTCCCAGGCGAGCTGCTGGAGGCGGCCTCCAGAGTCAATGAGACTATTGGCATCGCGCACCTGTGCGCGGTGGCTAGCAGACAGGCCAGGCAAGCCACGGTAGTGCTCAGACGATCTCAGCGGCGGAGGCATGCGACCTGATCTGTCCGCGCGGGCACGAGTGGTGGTGATACACGGAGTCGCAAACCAGAGGGCCCACACCAGGCCCGCACGCAGCCAGCCGGCGATGGTGAGCACCACCTCGCGCCGGCTGAGGTCGAACTGCGGCCCTTGCAGCTTGTCGAAGGCTATGCAGGCGTAGCCCTTGCGGCGAAGGTATTTGCTCACCGGCGCAGTGCCAGCAAAGAGGTCAACGAAGACGCTGTGCTTCAGCATGGTGGCATCTGCACGCGCCGCCCGCAGGCTGGCAGCAAGAGCCGGGCCAGCTCGCGCTCGCGGCGCTGCGCCTCCTCGCGGAGCTGCGCAGGGATGCGGTGCATCATCGAGGCCAGCCTGGCATGCTTCTCGTAGCGCCGCGCGCTCTGGAACGAGCGCCAGCCGCCCCTCTTCTGAACGTCGAGGAGGGCCCGCGAGCGAGAGGACACGTCCTCCGAGGCCCCCCCGTGTCGAAGGGAGCACGGCGTCACCTTCAGCTGCGCCAGGCCCAGGCCGAGGAGGCAGCTGTTCCAAGCCAGGAGGAAGTCGGTGTAGTGGAACATGAAGAGCCGCTCCCGCTCCCCCCTGTTGGCCTTCAGAAGGCGCAGCGCTGACTCCAGCAGGCGGTGGCGCGGCAGGTCCAGGGCGACGCTGGTGTCGAACTCGCCGGTCTTGCCAAGCACGTCTAGCTCGCTCGCGCGGATCAGGATGGACCAGAACTGGCAGGCCCCCCTCTCGTTCGGCACGGGCGGCACCAGCTGTAGGCCGAGGAGGCTGAGCGCCTCGCTCGGCCGCATGTACGTCTCGAACGTCAACAGCAGGAACAGAGCGTAGTCCGACTTGTCGTCGGAGCAGAGTCGCAGGGCCATCAGCACAGCCAGCGACCGAGGGACTGGCGGGCGCGACAACGGCTTCTCGAGCCGGCGCCATCCAGTGACCGCAGCAGTCGCCAGCGGCAAGCCCCGGCGCAGCGGGCGCGGCAGCTCGGGCAGCGCCCAGCGCACTGCGGCCAGCGTGCTGGAGGCATCCCCCTCGGGCAGCCCGCGGTCGTGCAGGAACTCCACGTACTGCTCCAGCAACAGGTCCCACTCGCTTGCAGGGAGGCGCTGAGGGGCTCTGGGCACGTGCAGCCACGCCAGCAGCTTGCGCAGGGCGTTCAGGTAGTTGCTCTGCGTTGCCGTCGTCACGGCCGCGGCAGCCAGGGAGCTGATGTGGAACCCCAGCTCCTCCGCCTCCTCCGCACTGCGGGCGGCCGAGTGCAGCGATGAGCCCGGGCGCCGCCGCGCCGTCTCGCGGCGCTGCCGGCGCGCCGAGCCAGACTCCCCGCGATAGGGGACCAGGCGACCCGGCGCAGGTTGGCGGGCCGAGCCCAGGGGGCCAGCAGCAGCCAGCGCGCGGCAGGGCAGCCGGCCCAAGGCCGGCGCGGGCTGCAGAGGGGGCGGGCTGGCAGGGGAGGCGTGGCGGCGAGGCAGAGCGATGCCCTCCGGCCGCGGCCTCCCGAGAGCCACGCCGCCCCCCGTCTCCGGCGCCACCAGAGGGCGCAGCACCCGACTCGGGGCAGGCGGGGCCCGGCTCGGCCTCAGGTTCGCCGCTGGCACCAGCACCCTGCAGAGCAGCGGGCTCGGGCCCAGGGAGCCCCGCGGCGAAGGGCCCCGCAAAGGCCCGCCGCTTGGAGCGTCCCGCCGCGAGCTGCTCGCGAAGCCCAGCAGCGCCCGCTGGCCCGTGAAGCCGCGCCTCGGCGAGCGCGATCGGCTGGGTGAAGGGCGAGTCGCCACAATCATCCTCGAGCCGAGGCGGCGGCTGGCGACCACGGTCAACGTCCGCTGGGCGATCCGCTGAGGGGGCAAGTGCGGTGTGAAAGTGACGAGCATGATGAGACGAAGATGGGTCGTATCTCCTGCTGGGCTCGTCCGCCGAGTTCCACTCCGAAGGAATCCACCGAAAAGAAACACGTGCTCCAAGGGCCAAGCACATGGCACAAAACTCGCGGCACCTCCGCAGCAGGTACCACGAAGAGCTCCGCCCCTTGCACGAGGTGAGGACCCAGGCCATAGAGTCCGACAAAACTAAGTGCCGCTTCTGGGCGCTCAGGCGGCTGCGGGCCAGCCGCCGAACCTGCCACAAGGCTGCCTCCGCCTCGAGCGCGAGGATCTTGTCCTTGCGCCTCCAGCGGCGGGCAGCCACCACGCCCCAGTCGTCCCCGCGCGCCAGGGCCGACGGCACCTCCTCGAAGGCGGAGCGCAGCCCCAGCGCACGCAGCTGCTCGGGCGAGGCGTCGACAATGTCGCTCAGCGAGGGCTCAGCCTCCTCGCCCTCGACCAGGCAGCGCGGGCGGCGGGAGGTGCGCAGCGCCCCACGGTACCGTCCCCGCTCTGAGGCGCGGCCGACGCGACCCACCTCAGCGGGGGGCCAGGCCTTCTCGGTGACGCCAAAGCCATGCAGCGAGGCGTCGACCGAGGCGACGGCGGGAGACCAGGGTAGGCTCATGTCGGCGACGGCGAGCGGCAGCAGCGCCCAGGCAGCTCGAAGCTCGCGCCGAACTGAAGCCCACACGCGCGCCGGCTGCCCGAAGTAGCGGTCGGCGAAGACGTACACGGCCGAAAAGATGGACAGCATCTCTGGCCGCAGCAGCATGATGGCCGAGGCGTGGCCGACGGCCCGGGCAATCTGGCGCCCTGTGCGGCGCTGACGGCCCCAGCCCAGCGTGCGGAGGGCCAGCGCGACCTTCCAAAACTTCCTCGCCGTAGGCCGCCACTGCGTGCCCGTCGGGTCCAGCTCGAACCCGAGCAGCGGGGCGCCAGCAGGCTCTGGCGCGGCGTCCACTCCAGCGGCCGCCACGGCGCCCAGCATATGCTCCAGGCGAGCGTTCGCCTCCGTGGGGCTCGTGCCAAGGGCCGCGAAGTTGTCGATGTAGATGAGCGAGGCCCCCGAGCCAGGGCAGACGGGCTCGCGTGGCACGTACTGGGCCAGCCAGCGGTCCGCCGGGGCACAGGGGCGAAGGATCTCCATCATGGCATGCTGTATGAAGTAGACCGCCCATGACCAGCCCATCGGCGCCACTCTCAGGCGCAGGCGCACCAAGCCGTCAGGCGGTGGCGCCCCAACGAGCCGGCGAGCGGCAAGCGGCAGTGCGGCCCAGGGCACAGGCGGCAGGCCAAAGGCCTCACGCAGGTGCACTGGCAGCAAGAACTGGTAGAAGCAGCACGTGACGTCGCCCTGCGCGACGAAGAGGCGCTCCCCCGCCTGCAGCTCGATGCTGCCGAGGGCCTGCGCCGCAGCCAAGGGGACGTAGTCGGGCTCCGCGAACTCTGTGTTGGAGGCCCTCGTGTCGAAGATCAGCCTGAGAGTCCCGTCCTTCTTGTAGACGAAGAAGGGCGCCACCTGTGAAAACGAAGTGCCCACCTCGAGCATGTCACGCTCGAGGAGGTCAGCCAAAAACTTCCCATAAGTGCGAGGATTGCTTGCCAGCCTTCGGTCAAAAGCCAATTTCGCCAACGAAGAAGAAGATGTGGAGCCTCTCATCAGCAAAGTGCCAGACTCACCCATCAGCAAAGAACGTGGCCCCGCCGGCAGTGCAGCAGCTAGCTCCACCGCGCCAGAGGCCACGCGCGGAAGAGAGACCTTCCCGCGCTGGTAGGAGGCGTACTTCCCGCTGGCCATGTCATCGAAGCCATAGCCAGGATCGGAGCCGATCACGGCGCGTGTGGCCGAGTCGGCGGTCAGGTCCGACGGGCAGCTGGGCACGGTGGCGTAGGAGCTGCGAAGCCGCTCCAGCGCGTCGGTCTGAGGACCAGAGGCTGCTCCAGTCCGTCGAACAGCACCGCGCCCTCCCATCTCATTGAGGGTCTGCAGACCAGCCGAGAACCACTCCAAGCCCAGCGCATCCCCTTGACGCAGCACGGGCGAGGTGGGCGCTGGCAGCGGCAGCAGGTCCCTGGGATCTGCCGCAAGACCTGGCGGCATAGCGGCGGCGCAAGCGCTCAGCCGCCTCCCCTGGTGGTGTAGAAGCGGCGCCCAGCCGGGGGGGCTCCGGGGCCGCTGCAGGGTAGCACGGGCGAGGAAGGCGTCAGCCCTGCCCCCCCGAGCCAGCGCCCGGGGTGCCAGTCTGCCCGTCCTTGCCCTTCTTGATGTCCTTGAGCTTCTTCTTGTGGTCGGCGCCGAGCGGCTGGCCAGCTCCGCCGCCGCCGCCGCCGCCGCCTGTGGCCGCCGCCGCCAGAGCCCGTTCCTCACGGCCCTTGCGGCGCTCCTTGAGCACGGCGGCCTGTTCCTCCATGCGCTTCGCCACCCAGCGCTCCAGCTCGGGCGAGATGAGGGCGTAGCCCTTGGCGCGGTCGCCGCCGAGGAACAAGTGCCTCTCGGCCGCGAGGCCCGCCGCCACCGAGCCCTCCGTGGAGGCGCGGATCCGCTCCTGGTACCGTTCCTCCCAGAGCTGGTAGCGGCGGGCCATGCTCTCGAAGCAGGCCAAGTTGCAGATGTTGAGCTGGTCATACTGCAGCCCATGCTGGATGCACTCCGAGAGGAAGAGGTGCTCGTCGATCCCCGGGTCCGACGTGGTCGCCCCCAGCGCCTGCCTCCACCAGTGATGGCGAGGCACGGGGGCCATGCCGCTGTGGGCAAAGGCCTCGATGAGCCACTGCACAGTGCGCGGGCCCTCCACAGGCCAGGCGTCGTCCAGGACCTCCTCGCGCAGCATGTGGCGAGCTGACTCGAAGCTGCGCGTGCGCTCGCCGCGCACGTTGTACTCGACAGCCAGGGTGCGAAGGTCCTCCGCCGCGGCCGCCTCGCCCTCGCCAGCTGGCAACGGCGTCGGCGGGTCGCGGCAGAGGCGGTACCAGACTCCCTCCCGGCACAGCAGGGCCTGGCCAGAGACGCCGAAGGCGAGGTCCGAAGGGCGGATGGTGATGCTCTCCCCGCGTCGGCGGGGACCCTGGTTCTCGCCGACAAACCACTCGGAGCCCACGAGGCAGGCGTGAGCCACCAGCGTGCCGGGGTCATAGAAGCCCGGGTCGACGTCGGCGGCTGGCACCAGCGAGCCAGGCGCGGGGGCCGACATCGCGCCAGCGTCAGCAAGGGGCGCGGGCACCCGCCCTCCTCCCTCGGCCGCCGGAGGCGCGCCAGCCCAGCCAGCGAGGTAGGCCTCGGCTCTCCGCCGGAAGGCGCTGGCGTGAGCGATGTCCCCCGGGCGAAAGGCGTAGCGGAAGATCTTCGGCCCGTAGAGCCGGCTCGGGATGCCGCCAGCCACACCACTAGGCAGAGCAGCCTCGTAGTCCTCCAGCAGTTCCTCGTAGACGTCGCCGTCGGGCGTGAGCACCACGTGACCTCCGACGGTGCGCCGCAGCACCAGGCGCTCGTGCCAGACCCCCTCCGACGCGTCGAACAGGGCCCAGAAGCGCCTTCCGGCGGCCACCGCGAGGTCATCTGCCATCAGGCGAGCGGTGGTGCCCCACCCTCAAGCCTGCCGCGAGCTCCAGCCGGCAGCGTCAGCTGCTTGACCCCTTCCAGCCCTGCGGCCACCAAGAGCGGCGACGCCGGCCTCGGTGGCGCCCACCAGCGGGCCGCGAACCAGCCCGTCACGAGCTGCCCCGCCGCGACGGCGAGCAGCTGGGCGGTGGACCAGCCAGGAGACCCGCAGTCGCACTGGCAGCCGCAGATGGGCGCCGGCGGCGCGGAGCGGGCCAGCAGGCAGAATGAGCCTATGGAGAAGGCACAGGCGATTGCGGACGGGTCGACCGGCATCCTTGTCCGGACAGAAAAAGGCTTGAGAGACAGTGTCCATGGCGATCGTCAACATTACCATTGACATTAGCATCTTCCACCTCCCTCCTCCTCAGAGGCTTCCTCCTCCTCCATCTCCCATTCTCTGCTCCTCAGCCTCCTCCTCAGAACCACTGGCCGTCGTCGTCCTCTGCCCTCCCCTTCCCCCTTCTCCTGCGCTGGAGGCACAACACTACAAAAGGAGGAGAAGAGGAGGAGGAGCAGGAGGAGGAGGAGCAGGACGATGATGAGAAGGAGGTGGACGAGGAGGAGGAGGAAAGGGATGGCCGCATTCGACGAACCCTCAGGCCGAGAGAGAGAGATATAGAGAGGAGAAAGAGGAAACGATCTTCTCCCCTCCTCCCGTGGCTCCTCCCCCTTGCCTCCTCCCCCCCCTTCCCATCCTTTTTCCTTACAGATAACTCCGCCCTGTCACACCTCGAGGCTGGTCGAAAGGGCGGGCCAGGAGTTTCGCCTGAGATTTCCTGACCACTTATGACCCAACTGCTTCAATGTGGCTCTCGCCTCAGCGCCGCGCACATTCGCTCTGAACGATTGCAAGAGTTTCGCGGTCTGAGGGCGGGTCGTTTTCAAAATGTGGTTATCACCTTAGCGCCGCGCGCACTCTGTATAAGCTAATGCAACAATTACACGGGTTGAGGGCAGGTCGTTTTCAAACTGTGACGATCGCTCAACCACCGAACACATTCGTTTTAAAGATATACGAGAAGTTCACGGACTGAGGACGGGTCGTGTTCAACGTGTGGCTCTCGCCTTAGCGCCGCGCACATTCATACTAAGCATTTGTACGAGTTCCACTGGTTCTCAGGGTTAACGTACCAGAATCGCGATTCGGAGCGATTCAATATTTTCAGCGCGCAACAGTTACGTTGGTTCGCGGTGTTGAAATCCCAGGAATGGTTTCTGGCACGATTCAGGATCGCCAAGACGTAACAGTCAGGTTAACTCGTGGCGTCCAAAAAAATGTGTCTTGAACACTTCAAGATGATCACAAAGGCTGCCCCCAAACGAGGCAATTCCCTGTGGACATGGCCCCCTATAGGGGGCCTACGAAGAGGGATCTTGGAGGGAGGGTGCATTTCAACATCGTTGATGAGTCTTGGGTTTACACTGGTCCTCCTCCTCCTCCTCCTCCTCCTCCTCAGCATCAGCATCAGCATCAGCATCAGCATCAGCATCAGCATCACTACCTTCGGCTAGCAGGCCCCTGGTTTCTCCGAAGTCCTGATCGGGGCCCTCAAGGGAAGGGGGGGAACACCCCTGGGCGCCTCGTAGGCGGCCGCGAGGCAGTCCGCCGGTGACCTGTGCATCGTCGTCGTCGTCGTCGTCGTCGTCCGTCGACGTCGACGTCGACGTCGTCGTCGTCGTCGTCGTCGTCGTCGTCGTCGTCGTGGTCGTCGTCTGGAGGAGGAGGAGGCGAGGAGACTACGGCTGGCGCTGGAAAGACAGCGTGCAACATCGACCTCCTCAAACGTACGCTATCCCTGAGAGGCGATCCCCCCCGCGAGGGGCCCCCGCTGTGCCCGCGACCCCCCTGCCGGGGCTTCTTCGGAGCACGCTTTCCTCAGGGAGGATCAGCGGACCGGCGGCGCCACGTCGCACGCGATCTCTCCAACGCCAACCGTAACGGGCGGAGGGGAGGGGGCGAGCAGACCACTCCCTCACTCCCTCACCGTACCCCGTGTTCTCCATGTCCCCCGGAGGGGCGAGGCCCCTTCCGGCGGCGAGAGCTCGCCGAGAGCTCCAGTGCGTCGGTGCTCACGGGTCCGATTCGACAGAATGGTGACGCATGCGAGTCATCACGGAGGGGAGGAACTCGAGGAGGAGATGGAGGGGGGAGGCGAAGGGAGAGGATAGGAGGGGCGGGGCCGTTGCATGGAACTGACGGTGCTGTCCCCGCAGCTGTAGCCCTCCAGCTCCAAGGCGAACCCCTGGGTGGTGGCACGCGTACTCGCGGCCGACGGCGACACGACCTTCTTGCACGTGCGGGCGACCAACGTGCTGACGGGGGTGGCGTAATCCACGCTCAAGAGCGCCCTGCCTGTAAGGCTCGAGCCGTGTTGGCATGGAAGACGCGGGCCCTGAGGGAAGCGGGCCCTGGACCCTGAGGCCCTCCCCTGGGACCAGCGTTCCGCCCCAAGTCGGTGTGTGGCGATCATTCAGTAGGGAGTTGCAAACCCTCCCTCATCATAAACACCCCGACAAGCAAAGCCGTTTAGTAAGCGTACCAAGGCTGCTTAGTAAACGCCCAAGGACTTTCAGTGAACGCGAATCATGGGTCCAGCCCAAGGCCTTTCAGTAAACGCCCAAGGCTGTTTAGTAAACGCCCAAGGCCTTTCAGTAAACGCCCAAGGCCTTGCAGTTCCAGCCTTTTCGGGGTGATCTTTCCTCCCTCGATCGAAAGCCCAGGGAGGGCCCCGAGATGCCGAACACTCATAAAAAGGCCCCAGGACCCTCTCCCCTCAGGACCAGTCTGCTTCCGTGGTGCAGCGAGGGGGTGCGTGGCGAGGACAGCGCAGGAAGGGCACCGAGAGACCGAACACTGCGAGAAACGAGCCCAAGCCCCTTTTCCACTCTGGACCCCGCTTGCTTCCATGGCGACGCGAGGGGCCCGGCGAGTATGGCGAGGGGCCCGCCAGCGAGCGGGGGCGACCGCCCGCACCAGGGGCGGGGTCGGGAGCGCCTGGGTCCCCCTCCCCCCCGAACATCGTTTGACCGATCCCTATCCCCACCAGCGTGGCCTATGCCCCACTGGCCGACTTAGTCCTCTTAGATAGGGGTACAAGGTGTTCCCTCCGGGTTTCGAGGGACACATCCCCATCTGGGGTGGTGGGATGGTGGGGATCGGGACGGGGATGAGGATGGGGATCGCTTAAATGATGCTGACCCCCCGCGCCCTCGCGGAACGACGCGCGGGAAGGGTTGGGGGGGTGCTCAAGCTTCGAGTAGAAGATCGACCACAGAATCGATGTACCCCAGAACTGTGTTTGAAGAAGAATCATCCACAAACAAATCATAATGTGTGTAGATGTTCGACGAACACTTCATTACTGGGTAAATGAATCCTGTAGTCGATCTCTTACTCAAAAACTGTGCGCCTGGGCGGGCGCCTCTCGTTGCCCGCGCCCTCCCGGGGACCACGACCATGACCACGAAGTCGACTTCGTGGTCGCGGTGGTGGTGATCGCTGTCGTCGCTGCGTGTCGTCGTCGTTTCGCGTTGCCGTGATGGTGGAGGTCGTCGTGGTGGTCGTGGTCGTGGTCGCCGTCGTGAGGGGCACGGGCAAGGGAATGAGGCCACCCTGCCGCACAGATTGTGACACCCTGGCTGCCGCGGACCAGCATGTAGTTGGTCATCCATGGCCTCGAGGCAAAGCCCTTGAGGAGATTCACGTAGTCTACCAGAGGGTGGCTCTGCACGTGCACCACGATCAGCCGTGCAGACTTGCGGATGTCCTCCACGGCCTTCGCCACCTGGGACTTGAAAGCCATGCGGCCGTCGGTGATGAGAATCACGACCGTCTGTGCATTCATCCGCGCCCCAGTCTTGACGACGTTATTTGCCTTGTGTATAGCCTGGGCCATGTTCGTCATGCCCCTTTGCCACTCGAGAGCATCGATTGACTCTTTGAGCTTCGCCATGTCTGTCGTAAGAGCAGATACCATGATGGCGTCGGACATAACCTTGTGAACCAGAAAATAAACGGCACCACCCCACCTACGGCACCAGGGGACTCAGCGTATACCAAGCAATCTGGCGTGGGTTTTCCGTGGCAGTCGCTACGGCAACCGATGGGCCGTAGCGCAACATGGAGGGCCGTAGGTGGGGTGGTGTCGTTTGTTTTTGTTGGTCGACCTTGTCTTTGTCCAACATTCCGTTGCCGAATAGCACAGCACCGGCCTGGACGGCATCGTGGCCGTATGCCTGCGGCTTGAGACGCTCCACGAACTTGCCAGCGAAAGTCCTCATTGCCGCGAAGCCCTCCTCCCCAAGCGATCCACTGCCGTCGATCGCGAGCACGATGTCCAGCTCCCCTACGCAAGTCTCGTCCCCAACGCATGGCTCCGTGTTGCATGGCATCCTCTCCAGCCGCGCGGCGTCATCCTCGCTCGGGCATACGCCCTTGCCTATAGCGGGGACGGCCACCTCACGAGTTCGCCGCCGGAACCCAGAGTTGCACGCCATGTCACAAGGAGACCAGCCGGACCACTCCCCGAGTGTGCAGTCTCTGTCGCAAGCGCCGGTGTTGCACACCTACAGTGGGGATAAAGGAAGAAGCATGGACCAAAAAAACGAAGCCAAATTTGTTGGGTGCTGTTCCTCTCCGGCCTCCCCCCACGAAACTGTACAGAAATGTCGAGGACGTCGGGGCTGGCGGAGCTACCGTGTTACCCTCCCGCTTCTCCAACTGCTGTTATCGGGCGGGGCGGGGTGCCGCGGCGCCGTCGAGAAAATATGTGGCCGTGTGGACAAATTGCGGACAACTGTTGTTTCGGGGTGCGGGGCAGCTCGGTCAACTGGCGACCCATTCTGCTTTGGCCACAACAGGGGGAAACGATTGGGTGGCACATTCAAGATATAGCCAAGCGTGGTCGCCCCGCCCCGCCCCGCCCCGCCCGGGGCTGGTCGTGAAAGATGCCAGATACGGATGGGGGCGATGATGATGCGACGGTGGCGGTGAACTCCACCACCGCTTTTGTTGATCGGTGGCCTAGGGCGTTTTGACAAATGTCCTCCCTCCAATCCCCCCCCCAGTCCCTCCGATCGTACGTCGTGCCCCTCCCTCCTACCCCACACACGTGGAGGCCCAAAGAGCACTGGAGGAATCCTAGCGGAAAAAGGCGCGGCGCTGGTCACTAAATGGGCTGATGGGGACTCGCGAAGCGTAAATGTAATGATATCTATGGATGACGACGGGTGGTGTTGCTACTGATCGTGTTCATGAGAAGGATGACATGTCGAATTGTGAACATAACGACAGCGACAACAAGAAGCGAAGTGGCGGAGAAAAGGGGGGCAATCTGGGCAACTAACGGCGCAGAACGAGAACGAGACAACAACTGTGGATATGTGGGAACATCGTGCCGAAAACGCTCATGCGCGCCGCCCTTTGTTGTCATCCCGACTGGACGCCTGCGTATCCTGGAGGGTGTTGCACGCCTGGCCATCGTACCTCGGCTTCTGCTCCAACTGTCGCACCCGGGATTGCACGCCGCCGCCGCAGTCCGAGGTGCACTTCGACCATGCGGACCACTCCTGGGGGTCCCGAAGTCGACCATGGGAAGGACTCCTCCTCCTCCTCCTCCTCCTCCTCCTCCGCCTCTGCCTACGTGTCCCAGGACGCGCACTGATTTTTGGTGTGGGAGAGTCGCGCCCTCCATAGCGAAACCATCGAAACCCAAGAAACCCAGGGCACACTGGAGGCAGGCAGGGTGTCTCTTGGCATGGGGCTCCACCACACTTTTCGGCCACTCAGGCCCGCCAAGGGCTCACTGCTGGGAGCCTAGCGGGCCGCCTTGGAGGTCCCGGGGTGCCAGCCCAGGAAGGCCCACATCGCTTCGATTTCTTGTTTTCCGCGATCTGCACATTCTCGCCGCTTCGGTCGCAAGAGCGTCTACGACAGCCTGAGAGGAAGGCCAGAAACAAAAACATGCGACTCTTTAGATATTCACCTATCGTCCTCGCATTATAGCAGCCGCCTCTTGCGCCCAAACTGCTCACTTCTCAAGATCGACGGACCTGGCCGCAAAGCCTTTGCAATGAACAACCACGGACACGGTCAGCGTTGGAAGACCTGTCCAAGATTGGAAGGAACACGAATCAACCGAAAGATGCATGGGGCGTGGCCCCCTTCGGCACCGAGGCCAACGCACGCTCAAAATGCCACTACAAAAAGAAGCCGGGGCTGGGCTGAAACATTGATCTGTGACAGGACAGCGCTGCCGCGGCCGGAAAAAACTGGAAGCCAACCCCGTCCGATTGTTTCGGCTCTCCCGCGCCAAGCTCGTTCAACGCCGCCTTGATGGGCACTCGGCAGAAGGGGGCGCCGGCCGACGCAGAAAGGAAGGATTGGACAACAATTCAACGAAGCTTTTGGTCGTCCCCATGGCATACAATAGCACGCCCAATCGCCCTCAGAGCGGACGTGATACATTTCCCCACGCGGCGACATTAGGCGCTTTTCGGCGCAATTTGTGCGAGACTTCGAGCGGTAATCAACGGTGATGGGGGCACTGTTTGGTTTATGTCCGGAATGTCCTCCCACAAACGATGTTTGACGGAATTGGCAAAACTAATCGAACATACTTTGTCGTTGGTGATAGAAGAACTGCTCATTTCAAAAACAGCGAACAAATTCCTAACATGTATCGGAGAGCCACGATCCCTGCTGGAGGATTGCCTTGTTTTTGTAATTTCCCCCCTGCGTGTTTCGGCGCGCGTAAAATACACAGCGCCCTGCGCGCCAGACAAAAGGAGCGCCTTTTTTTCAATCCCGCGTAAACGATGGCCGCTTCTAATTCGCAGCAATACAAACTGGATGCACATTCAACCGATTCGCGCTCGCGCGAGAACGAACCAATTCTGCAGCGCGCTCGGCCGGCTCCACGCGGTTCTTGCCACGAGGGCCACCTCCGAGACAAGCGACAGACGCAGCAGGCGCCTGAGGGGCGCGCGAGGGGAACCACCAGAAACCAATCAATCCAAACGCGTAAACGACCCAGGGGCAACCACGAATCGCAACGCGGATGCAATCGTCTTGACATTTTGTCCGTCTGATAACTGCACAGCGCGCGTAACACGTATCACACATTCGATGCGCGCGCGCGGTGAGAGCCAGTCCCCCAGCGGGATTGGGCACGCAGAGTGAAGAGGCGACGCTTCTGTGGCGCGGAACGACACGCGCTGGGCAACATTGCGGCGCGCTGTCCGGCCCGCGAGCGCACCGCGTCAGCAACGCGCGTCGCGCGTTTGGCTGCCCTGGCGCAGGGCAGGGCATCTGACCGCCAGCGAGCCCACTACATCGCATGCCGCAGCGGCGCGATTTCAGGCGGGGGGGGAGGGGCATTGCCGCGAGATTTTCGCGTTCTCGGGGAAAGGCCATGAGGCCCGCCCTAAGGTGGCGCTTTCCGGAAAAGAATTCTCGAAGATGGTCGCGCACTGCGTTCTGGGGTGTTTTGATGTTTCGCAAACGGTCGGTGAACATCTCCTGGTGCATGTTGACATCTCAGATCGCCGCGGGGGCATATCTGGAGTACTCTGAACTTCCACGCTAGAACCATCGCACGCGCTCCGCGCGCGCTCAAGTTCTAGCCAGCTTGAAGGGTAGCGCGTAGCGGGGGGAAGGAAAGAGGTCAGCAGTGGCAGGCAACCTGGTCGAATTAGCGACGATTGCGTCCTTCGTCCGTCGTCCTTCGTCTGTCGTCGTCGCCGCCCTCGTCGCCGTCGTCTGCGTCGTCGATTGTCGTCCGTCCTCCGTCGCCTGCTGTCGCCTGTCATGACTGGACTGCCTCTTGAGGTCGTCATGGGACCTTCTTGGCACGTCATCGGGGGCCTCCTGGAAAGAGTTTTGAAGCCTTTTGGGTGCTGTCTTGGGGCCTCTTGGAGCCTCTTTGGGGTTTCTTGGGGGCCTCTCGGGGCCTCCTGGGGGCCTCTTTGGGGCTTCCTGGGGGCCTCCTGGGGCCTCTTGGGGGCATCTTGGGGCGGAGAGCTTGATTTTTCAGTTCGCGTTCGCAGCAATCCCGGCGGCCCCAGACGGTCTCGATGCGCCCCTAAGACGCCGCCCAGGGGTCTCTGGCGACGAACGACTCGTTTTACACTACCCTGGAGGCCCCCAAAACGCCCCATGAGGCCTTTAAGATGCCGCCCAAGAGCGCCCCGAGAAGGCACAATTTGTTTGTTGCATTCTCGTTGTCTCGTGTTTCCGGCGCAAAAGCACCGCCCAACAAACCTCCCAAACCGCTCCAAGATGGCCCAATAGGCCCCCAGGAGGGCCCCGAGACGGCCCAAGAGAGCCCCGAGACGGCCCCAGAGCTGCCCAAGACGGCGCGAGAGGGCCCCAAGAAGGCCCCGAGTGGCGGGCCCGGGCCACAACACCCACATTTGCGGTCGAAATTCCGGCCCTCGGCCCCCGAGCCCGGCGCGCCGTTATACGTGTAAGCGGGAAGAGAAAGATAACATATAATATTTGGATAGTCTTAAATAAAGGTCGTCAATTGCACTGGCGCGTCTTTGAATTATCATTGGGGCGTTTTGGAATTTCGCAGATGGCATTGCAGCGCCTCTCGAAAATTTTGATGTTTCGCTGATGGCTATGGATTTTCTCTGGAATAATTTGAATTTTCGCCTGCGGAATATATATATGGAATAGTTTAGTTGCGTCGAAAATTGTTTGGAGTATGTTTTAAACGCGTGAAATCAACGGGTGTATTTTTAGAACCCTTGAAAAACATGTGTCCATCTGCGGGAAGTATTGTGTGAGTATTTGATATTTGCTGGCCGAATTTTCGGACTGCGCTGCGCGAGCGCATTGCGCTGGACCCCCCCCAGCGGAGCATTTTGCGTCGCCGGCGAGTGCGCAACGATCAGCGCTGGAGTATTTCGTTAACTCACGGGGCGTGTCGGACACTCACTTCGGGTATCCGAGGCACCACTGCTGCGCAAGCGACGATGCTTGTCTGCGCTCGGGATGCACTGACGGCGCCAACAACGATTGGGGCGCGCCGCGGGCCCCTGGCCCTGCTACGCCACGCGCGCAGTGGGCCCACGGCCCACCGATCTGCACGCGTGAATTTATGCGTGTGTACAAACGCGCACGCGCATGCAAGCGGGCATCGCCCTGCCATGGGCGTGCGCGCCCCACTCGGCCCCGCGCGATCAACGCGACCACCTTGCCGATCCAAGGGAAGAAGATCAATTTTAATGCGCTTGAAAATGTAAAGGCAAATGTGAACGTGCAGCCCTAATCGCAACTGTTCCCATCACGCGCCCAAGTGCACCCTTATCTACTCTAACCCGCTGCGGCGGCACGCGCAACCCTCCTCTTCTACTGATTGTCCATATGCCGTCTCTACGCCGCTCCAAGTGTGCCCCCTTCGGAACCGGCTCTAGACTCATCCCGCGCCCAATTGCAATCAACCCGGCTCAGGGACGACCTCCAGTCCACTCCTACCGCGCTCCATCCCAACTCCTGGTCCACTTATGTCTCCTCGACGATGGCATCAAAGGGGTTGGGCCTTGTCCGGTTTGGGTTGTCCCTCGCGCAATATACCCCGCGCGACTGCCGAAGGAGACCCAGGTGGTCGAACGCGGGAAGCGCCAGTCTATGTAGGGTGGGAGGAAGCACAAGGATGGCGCGCAGGAGCGAGGGGGTAAAGATGGAAACTTGACTTTTGCAGCGAAAACTTGGATGCCAGCGGCCACAAAAACTGATCGGGCTGCTTTTGTGGATGCGCGTAACAAGATGGGACAAAACAGAGATTCAAATCTGCAAGGCCACTGTCGGCTGCCCAGAGGGTGCCCGTCGAATGTTTCACGCTGCGCGCAAATCCAATCGCCACGCCGCGACATCCGGTCCACGATGGTAGCGCGTTGTTACCCCTCATTGTGCACGTTACACAAGCCACATCGCCATATACGCACGCCTGTGCTAAAACGCGAAAGCGCGCGTTGCCGCCACCTAGTGCGGCGGAGCGAACAATGGTGGCGCCACGCGCCGTAGCATGTTTTCCGACCGCGCGCACCGTACGTTCGGCTAGCGAGTATCCAGAAAACGATGTCCAGACCACTTCTGGCGAATTTTGAACACAGTTGGAACAAAAACAACGCCACTAAATTTTGTCCCGACGATGTTTCAATATTTTCATCGCCGCCACGCGCGAGGAAACCGCCTTCCTGCCTTTCCCCCGCCGCCCTCCTGGGCGCTGCCGGACCGGCCCGTCGCCTGTTATCGGAGGCTGGGGGGGGGGAGATCGCAATGGAACGGAAAGCTCCCCACCGGGAAATCGGTTTCGGTTTCGCGTTCGTGTTCGTGCCGCGCGGGCGAAGCGAAGCTGCACTGGCGCGCGAGAAGAATAATCCCGCCGTCGCTAGGGCGCTTCGGATACAGTGGACCGCAACTCCGACTTGGTGGGCGCGCGGTGCGGGCGCGCGGTGGCCTGGAGTGTCCCGCCGTGGTGTCCTGTGGTGTCCCGTTGGTGGCGCGTTTGATGCCCCGTTAGTGTCCCGTTGGTGTCCCGTCGGCGGTGTGCGGGCGGTGGCCGGGTGTGTCCCGCTTTGGTATCGATAGTGAAGTGGATCGTGAGATCGATAATGATATCGCTACAACGGGATGGATAGTGAGATCAAAGTGAGATCGACAGTGAGGTAGATTGTGACATTGGTTGTGAGATAGAACGCGGGGACGTTAGTGACACCAGCATCACACCCATCGCATTTGCCAGCACTTGGTGCTTTCCCCCAACGTCATTATCACCCGAAGGGTGGTCGTCTAGGTAAGGGAAATCCAGGATGGACGAGACACCAAACGACAGCACCCAATCTAGACCATCTACGACCCAACGCAGCAGCGCCACGGAGGCCATGACCTGGGCACAGGGCGAAGGAGGACGCGGCGCTGGAGGAGGCGGCGCCTACGCGCGCGTTCGCTGGGTGGTTGCTGCATTGTCCGCAATAGGATCGCCGCCTAGGTGGCCAGGAAACTGGAAAGCCCATCAACGGTCTGCGGCCTGTACGAGTCCGCTTGTTGTTGCGCCATGCAATGAGCCTACGCGCGCTCGCTCGCAGGGGGGAAATCACGAAAACGAGGAAGTCCTCCAGCAGGAATGTGTTATTTCCAGCGTGTTTGCTGCCATTCACCGTATTGTTAAAGCGCGGCTGTCACACAAAAACTATGCTTGACTACTTGCATGTTTCTTCCCAAATCCTCCTGTCGGGGGACGCCAAAGGCGGGGTTCACCCTCTTCGTAGACGACAGGACTTGGACGGCGCCCACGCTCACGGAGCTTTTCAGGGTCGCGGAAGTGTGGAGGGAATGGGCTCTTGTTCTGGGTCTCACAGCAGTTGGCGGCGGCGACGCCGAGCAAACGCCAGCAGCTGCTACAGCAGGGGGCTCCCGCGGACAGGAGCGACGACCAGCTCGAAATCCTGGGCATGAAAAACATAGGAGGCCAGAGGAGGGCAAAGGTAGACAAGGAGAAGAAAAGAGTAGAAAAAGCGCTCCAGCAGGCGCGCCGCGCGGAGCTGCTCCCCCTGAGGCCGCGGGCTCTGCGCACTGTGATGGCGTCGAGGCCAATCAGCTTGGTAGAGTACGGGTGGGTCAACGACACGCTGTGACGACACACAGGAAAAATCCGGCCCGCAGTGAACCCCGTCGGCTTCCCGTGGCGCATGGCGCCGGCGCCCAGGAAGCCGGTGCACGGGCACAGACTCGACGTCGCCTACCGGGTGTAGCAGACCAGGGTGATGGCGGCGGCGAGAACCGCGGCAAAGACGCGGCCGGGCACGACACCGACGCGGTGGAAGAGAGGCCGAGGGTGAGACGGCAATGTCGCCGCAATGCCCAGGCCAGGGAATAGGGCATGGCGCCGCGCGGGGATCGACCAACGCATCAGCCTAGACAACAGCAGCAGGGTGTGGCGCAGGCCTTAGGCGCTTGTGCACTTGCTCCAGGAAAGGTGGCGGCACACATGCTTTACGCAGTGGCAGCGCGCCAACTGGATCGACTCGGGACTCTGAAGGTGGGAGAGCTACGACCCCCGCAGGAGCAAGGCCGTGCAGACGGCGGCGGCGAGCAGCAGGAAGGCGGCCGCTTTCCTGGCCGGCGCCTTCGTGTCTCCAGCGGCAATGGACAGCAGCAGGGCGCAGGGGACCGCACAGGAGGCCAACGAGGCGCAGCCGCCGCCAAGGGAGAAAGGAAGGCCCCAGAGAGGAGCTGGCGCCCAGCTGGTGGTGCGGCGCGAGAGTGCCAGACACCGACCACTTGCTGTGGACTTGCGCGGGCCTCCAGGACCGGCCCCGGTACAGGCTTTGAGACCCGCTTCAAAAGCGACTCGCCTGGCCCACGGGCGAGGGACGCCGCGCAGACGTGGACAGGCGCATCCTCGAGTGGGCGATCCACGTCTGGGAGGTGGTACTGAAGGACAGGTGCACGGTGCCTGGCGCCGACAAGGACGAGGAAGGAGGGGAAGGAGGAGGATGAGGAGAAGGAGGACGAGGAAGGAGGAGGAGGAGGCTCGAGGCTCGAGGCCGTGGCACGCAGGTCTGATACTGGTGGCTCAAGGAGGGGTGTGCTCGCACCCGGCCGCTGGCCAGGGCGAGCACCTCGCAGGAGGAGGCGACGAGGACGAAGGCCCACAGGAAGGGCGCCGAGACGAGGGCGACCGCGGTGCGCCGCGCAGCGCAGCCGCGGCCTCAAGGAGGAGGGGCGTAGGAGAGAGGGGGAGGGGAGAGGAGGAGGGAAGGGCGCCCACTGCAGAAGCCAGGAGGGGGGCCAGACAGGAGGGGGGAAGAGGCCCCGCCGCAAAAACCAGGAGGAGGGCTGAAGAGGAAGAAGAAGAGGAGAGAAGGGCGCCCGCTGCCCAAGGCAGGAGGGAGGCCAGGGAGGAAGGAGGGAGGGGGCCCGCTGCCCAAGGCAGGCGAGCGGCAAGGAAGGCGAGGCACCTGCTGCCAAAGACAGGAGATCTGGAAGGAAGGGAAGGCCCCTGCTGCAGAAGACAGAAGGGAAGACACCTGCTACTACCACAAGCGGGTCATCTCGACGGCACGTTCTGATGTTCCACCGTTCCACCCAGCGATGTTGAAAGTTTAGGCACTTACCCACCTAAGACCACCTACGACCCACCGACACCACCCCACTTACGACCAACCTACGACCTGGCGGGGTCGTAGGTGGGAGGTGTCGATTGGTTCTTGGTCGACTGGAGGCCTCGCGGGGCAACTGGAGGCCCACTTCACGTCGGATCCGCATCGGACTTACATCGGGCTCACGCCGGATGCGCGTCGGATTTGCGTCGGACTCGCGTCGGATCCACGCAGAACTCACGTCGGAGCAGCGCCGCGCGGACGTCGACTCTTGTCTTACGAGAGCGGACGGGTGGACTAGATGATACAACTGTTGTGCGCCGCGCGAGGCCTCAATCATTTTCCTCTGAAAACTTGCGTGTCGCTTAATACATCCTCACGAAATTGATTAAGGATTACTCATGCCGCTATGCATGATGTGAAGATCAAAGCGGCGATGCGAACTGTGGGGGTGATGACAAATCTCGCCCCCCCGCGCCTCTTGTGGTTATATTTGAACCCACGTGCGCTCCGTGGCAAATCAGGTCGAGGGGGCGAAAGGGGGAGGGACACGCGTGTACGCTGAGGAGGCGGAGGAGGAGGCTCCTCCTCCTCCTCCTCCTCCTCCTCCTCCTCCTCCTCCTCCTCCTCCTCCTCCTCCCCGGCACGCGCGTACCCGTTTCGGTGGCGCTGATTTGTGGCCGGGGCCTTCGGGCCCAGAGCTCCGACACCCTGCAGTCGATGGGGCACCTCTTCCGGTTGCACGGGTGCGTCACCCGCAGCGCGGGACAGGGAGCGCCGTACTCGCTGTTCTTGGTGATGACGTCGCGGGTCATGTTCATCTCGCCGCCCACGAGGTCGTCGTCGCAACTCTTCGAACAACTGGACGCCAAGAAATCTGTCAGGTAGCAGTCGGACACCTCTGCGAGGTTTACGTCTGACAGCTTCAGCCTGATCAGCTCATCACGCACCTTGTGGACCGCACAGATCTGCTTGTAAAGAATCTCGCGGATCGTTGTCTTGCACTCTGTCTGCTTGTTCCAGCTCATTTTCTCCAGGGAGTCGAGCTCGCCGACCAGCTCGGCCTGGCGAGACGCCAGCGTGCCCCCTGCCGTGGTGGCGGCCTGCAGGGCACCCTGTTGCTCCTTGATGCTCGCAGTGATGGACTTCAACTGGTTGTTGATTGCCTCGCTGAAATGCGTGAATGTGTCCGTGTCCTCCTTTGAGAGACAACTAGCACCCCAACATCCGACGTCATGTGTTTTCACAACGAGGCTCTTGAAACCCTTCCCCAGAACCAACTTGACATTCTGAACCATGTCTTGTCAGAACCAAAGCCTGGTATGGGCCCCTGGAGGCCGAAAGCTGCCGAGCATCTTGGGTGACCACTGTGATTTTTCCCGACGCCAGGAGGTCTGGGTACTTGTAGCTTGGGCTGCCACGGCTCCTGGATCTGCACCCGGGTGTCGTCGACGAGCTCCTCGGGACGGCTCGGCGCGCCCCCCCGACCGGCCCGATGCAGGCCTCCCGCTGGAGCCCTTACCCCTCCCTTGCCTGAGCACAGTCTAGCCGATTCCTATCCCCACTGGCGGGGCTTGGGCCCCACTGGCCGCGCCCGAGATGGGGATATAGGCTTTGGGCTAGGATTTCGAGGCGAATCCAGCAGTGGCGACGAGGGCCCCTCAAGAGGCCCCCCAAAGGCGAAAACGAGGCAAGGCAGCGGCATCGGCACCTCTCCTCCTCCGCTCTTCGGTACAACGGCAGCTCAAAATCGGTCCCGGGCCCCTCGCGGGGTCCACCCGCACCAATGTTCCGCGCTGCGTCCACCGTGGCGACGAGGCCCCCCCCCCCCGAAGGCCAGCTGCCGTTGGGCCATCAGCAGAAGGAGGGCGGAGGAAGGAGGAGGAGAAATGAGGGGGAAGGAGGAGGAGGAGGAGGAGGACGACGGAGGAGGAGGCGGAGGAGGAGGACCAGCAGCAAAAACTTGGCTGCAGCACCCGTCCTTCATGTCCGTCCACAGCGTCCCAAAGGTGTCGTGAAGCGGCCCGCAGCCGCTCTCCGCCTGGACGCACTTCTGGGCCTGCTTCTCCGCGTCCACCGGCACCGCCGCCAGGGCGGCGCTTGCACTCAGGAGTGCGAGTCCGGGCTCGTCGTCGTCGAGACCGCGCCCCTCGCGCAGCTTCTGGTCCCGGGCGAGGGCCAGATAGGTCGGAGGAGAGCCGGCCGAGACGACGGAGGCTTCTCGTCGCCACGGCTAGGATGCGCTCCGAAGAGTGGGTCAGGACGGACCTCCAGCGGGGCCGAGGACTTTGGGGCCAGGCGGGGAGGCCCCCGTGGTCTCCACTGGCCCTCCTCCGAATAGAGCATCCTCCTGCCATCTGGGGACAGCTCGCCGCTCGCGTTCTGGAGGCGAACGTCCTTGAAGCGCACGTCCGTCACTCCGCTCGCGTTCTTACAGATCTTCACTGCGGATGTGGCGTGGTATCCGCTGGATCTCAAGCCGTCTGCGGCCCCGGCGCCTGAGCCGCTCCCCTGCAGAAGCGACCCACATGCAGTCAGGTCGAGCATGAATGTAGCGGCATCCAGATCTCTGATGCGAGCATCGAGCTCCAGCTGGTCCTTGGCCAACTGCTCTTTGTAATGGATCTCCTGAGTGCTCAGCCGCTCCTTCGCACTCTGGGCGTTCGAATTTGCTGCCACGATCGCACCCATCGACGCGGTCATCATCCGATTCAGGTTGGCCCGCTCCATGCCCATCTGTGCGAGGTCTGCCTTGATACGATCTATGTCCCTCATGGAATCTTCCTGGAACTCCTTTGAAGGAGCAACAGCTGCATAGACATAACCTGTTGCAGGTCCGCGCGGACTTCTTGGACCTGCGCTGGGCAGACCGCCAGGGGCGGCGCCGGCGCGCCGCCGGGTGGGCCCAGCGCCGGGCCAAGGCATCCGCGCGGAGCTCCGACGCTTCAGGCTTGTGAAACTACCTGTCCCTCGATCCTTACACTCGATCGACTTGTTGCCCAGACGCTCCTGCGCCTTCAGCACCATCTCGTTGAGCACTGCCACCGCGTGCTTCGCGTCCTCCTCCCCCGCGCCCGCACCGCTCCCAGCCGCCACGCCGCCGGCGCCGAGGGCTCCGCCCTTCACGGTGCCAATGTGCGACAGGGTGGCCAGGACCTCTGGCGGCGGCTGCGCTGCCCTCACGCCCTGCAGCGCCGTGTCGAGGTCCATCTTGGCCGCGCCCTCATGGATGGCCTCCTCCAGGTCCCACCTGAATGGTCAGAGGAGACGGGTTGTGCGCGAGATGGCATAGCGACCTTGCGCCGCGGCCGCCGGCGTCGCACACCGCGTGGAGAAGAGAGAAGAGGGCGCTCACGCGAGACCGTACTCGGGCGGCTTACGCGAGAATGTCTGTGCAATCGATCCAGTCTGCTTCCGTCGCTTACCTGCCGGGGACGCACTACCCCGGGTCAGCGCAAACCTGGATCAACCAGGGCTGTCGCGAAGCCCGGCTGGCCGCAGAAGGCGGAATATGGGGAATCGGCCCCACGTGGCTCTAAAACCCGGGTCAGCCAGAGGGGATTGGCTGACCCCCTTTTGCGTGGGCCCCAACACCCAGGCTCGCCGCCATGCCCAGCAGCGCGCCGGGACCGACGCTGACGGCTGCTGTTGAGCCCGACCATGGCGTCCACCAGCCCGTCTGAGCATCGTTTAACCGATCCCTATCCCCACTGGCGTGGCCTGGGCCCCACTGGCCGATTTGCTCCCCTCGATGGGGATCTATCCAAGCTGCTCCCTCCGATACTCGACGGGCATATCCCCAACTGGGGCTTTGGACGCCCGAAATGGGTACGGAAAAAATGGGTCAATGCCCAACAGCAAATGTTGTCTCAAATCAACAGCGGCCGCTGTTGGGCAGGCGGCCTTACGTCTCAAACGAACACATGCCGCGGCGGCGCGGACAGCGAGTCCTGCTCAAAACGAACAGGCACTGCTGTTGGGCACCGTGCCCATTCTTTCCGTGCCCCTTTCGTTCGTGCCGAGGGGTGGCGGGATGGCGGGGATCGAGAGGGGGATTAGAAGGAAAACAAACCTACCTCGCTTTTGACCACCCCCGCTTCCAAGAGATACCAGGCGATGCCAAACCACGGCCTGTACCGGTCAGGCCGCTCGACGTGGAGAGGCGCGTGGCACGACTCGGTTTTTTGCTCGGAAGCGAAAGCGGGGCAGGCAATTCACGCTCTGAGGGATGGAGCTGGGCACCATGGTCAGGGGGACGTAAGACCTGGGTACAGGGGACTCGGAAATACCCGAAAGGGTCGTCAAAAAAATGACGAGGCCGAGCCTGCATTTTGACGAGGCCTCCCGCTGCAGACATCCCACGAAACTCCTCCTCGTCAGAATCCGAGGCGCGGTCGTCAAAAAACGATGGCGAACCCGAGTCCTGGCAAACCCGGGTCTTACGCTCCCCCGACATGGGGCGGTTAAGCGATGCCGACCGTCGAGGCCCGAGGCCGGCGCCCCGAGGCCCGCGGCGGGCGCCTCCGCCAGCCCGCGCAGGCCGCGGGCGGGCGGCGCCCGCGGGCGGGCGGCGCCCGCGGCGCCGAGGGCCGCGAGGAGGCAGAGGGCCCGCGCGCGGGCCCCCCCCTGCGGCGCGGCGGCGCGGCGCCCGCCCGCCGCGCCCGCCCCGCGGCGCGCGGGGGGGCGCGGCGAGGGGGCCGCCATCCCGCGGGGGGGCGCGGCGTATAGCGGGGGGGGGGGCGATGGCGAGGAGGCGGGGACGGTCTCGATGAGGTCGGCCCAGGATGCGGTCTCCAGGGCTTTCAGGGAGTGCCCTTCGCGGCCCCCGTTGCCGCAGCACGCGCGGCACGTCAGGGATCCTGGAACTCCTGGGACATTGTCCTGACCCCTTGCTCCCCTGAAGACAACAGGGGAGGCCCTTCCAGGCCTCCTTTTGCCGCCCCTTTCCCTGCCCCTCCTGGGCCCCAAGGGGGCCCTGCCGGCCCCCCCCAGTTCACGAGGGGTGCACCTCTCCTCGTCCCTCCTCGTCCTCGTCCTCCTCGTGCCCCCCCAATGACACAACGCCCGACTCCCGCGCCCGGGAGCCCGAGCGCCGGCAGCGCCCCCCGGGCCTGCGGGGGGCGCGTGCGCCTACATTGGCTGGAGCCGCAAGGGGGCTGCCAGTGCATGGGAGCAGCTGCTCAGGTGCGGGCGGGCAGGTGGGGCGCCCCGAGAGCATCACGCCCCAGTCATGGGGACGCCAAGGGTGAAACTCTGGATGCAGCACTGACAGGCATGCTGGAGGCGAGGGGGCAGGACGAGGAAGCTGCTCACCCCCCCGCCCTTCCATAGACGGCGCAGGGAAGCGGGGGGAACTGCATCGCGCGGGAAGACGGGTGTGGGGGGGAGACTGCACGGCGCAAGGACGTGGAAAACACAAGCGGCAGCTCCAGGGTGCGAGCGCGACGAGAAGGCGCGTCATGCTCATCTCCTTCCCTCGTTTGCCAAGATTACTGACAGGTTCGCTTGGCATCGCGAGGCGCATCAATCGATAATCGCGCTCTCTGCCCAGAGAGGTGGAACGTTTGGTGAAGAGGACTGGCAGTCTCGAGGCAGGATGATGTAAGATTTTATCGGATGGGCATACCATGCTTAGGTGGACGTCCTAGGCGCACTCGACCCTCGTGGACGTTTTGGCCGTCGACGTGTCGCAAGTCTGTAGAATTATTGGGCGTATGCGCAACAATCACCGATCAAAAACTTGTTACGTTCCTGGGGGCGTGGTGGGCAGAGGGCCCTTGCGACGCCACGAGGGGTCCCAACAAGGGGCCTCGACGAGGGACCCCACAGAAGATCTTGACGACGAGGCCCTTCCACGAGGGGTCCCCGCGAGGGTTTTCACGGGAATGCCCACAAGACTGTGCCAACGCACTTTTTCGACCGGCGCAACGCACCAGACTGGGATCAAGGGTTAACGGCATCAATACCCAGGTCCGCTGCTTGATAAGCCATTGACGCAACAAACCGAAACTGGAACAACAAACGCTGGTAGTTACAGGAATGTGGAAATGGCCAAGGCTGGAAACACTGGCCAAGATAAATACATATCAAGTTGAGGCTATTCGGCCTGGAATGGGACAACTGCGGGGATATATGTCCCGGCGAGAAGAGGATACGGACCAGCCGTGACCACTTTCTCGAACTTGCATGTCGCGCTTTTGATTGCACAGGTAAACTTGAACAGCGGGGCAGTTTCTGTATACATGTATCTACATATATACTAAATCCATCGAGGGCGCCTCGCGCGCGCTCAAGCTCTAACGCAGGCTAGGAAGTCACTGGAAGAGCGTGGGCAGCGCTAGAACGCACAAGCGCGCGTCATAATGGTACCTAGTTTCGCCCTCATCCCCGTCCCCATCCTCACCTTCATAGTTATCCTCATCATCTGACTCATCATCACAACCAGCATCATGACTAACATCATGATCGAAACCACACGCAAAAGCAACACTATGAACTTCAGCTGGAGCATCCTTGGCCGAACTTGCTTGAACACTCCGTCAAATCAAACTTGCGTTCGTTCATCACCATCCTCATCTGAGCCATCGTCATCATCAACATCGTCGGCATCATCATACCCATCATCCGTGGCATCGTCGTCGCCGTAGTAGTATTACTCGTCATCTCCATCATCATCCGCATCATCATTATCATCATCATCGTCCTCCTCCTCCTCCTCATCATCATCATCGTCGTCACCATCGCCACGCCCACCACCACCATTATCATTGTCATGGCGCCCGTTTTGTCGACAGTAGGGCGCCAGAGCATCATGTCTGTGCGATGGCGCAGGTATCAGGCCTCCCCCGGTTGGCAGCTCACTGATGGCCACGGCGCGCTGATCAGGCACACAGAGGGCCACGCCTGCGAGCACGCGGGGGCACCGAAGGGCCGCGCGAACGAGCAAGAAGCACTGGCCACGTACGGGCCTAACCAGCGGCACCACGCGGGGGCCCACAAGGGGCCGCACCAACGCGGGGGCCACCGAGCGCCTTCCCACCAACGGCTGGGGGGGGGGACCTAGTCAACTAATCCCGAGACTGACGCTGAGCCAACGCGGCCCCAGAGGGCCAGGCCTCAGAGACTACCAGCTCCACGCTCCACCCCTCCCTTGTTTTTTCTGGCCAGCCAGCCGCGCGCGGTGAACTGTGGGCACTTGCATCTGCACACGCGCTAAACCC